TGCGCAGAGTGCACCTGAGACTGGATGTAACACAGGGGCTCTTAAATCTATCCCAGCCCCATGAGACTACCCTCAGAAAATGAGCTCTCTATCTGTTCTACTGCTGCAGCTGGCTGTGAAAGACATTAGTTCAATCCCATGGAATCACTGTCGTAGTTTCTTTTGCTAATGCCTGTTTTAAAATCAGAGATTCTTACCTCTGCATGCAGGAGGCATTTGCTAGTGTAAAAAATCTGAAGCCCATTTGAAATCAGTGTAAACAGAGCCACTGTATTCATCTGGTCTGTGGTGGTACATCAAAAACACACATTACGCTGGAAGGTTCCTTTCAATTAATACATCTGTTTCAGGCTTTGCCTGTTAATCCTCCCCTATAGTTTTCAATGGTTTCTGACAGATTGTTTGGCTTCTCTGTTTTTCTTCCTTTCATTTATCTTGATCTCAATTTGTAGTTTTACTTTGGCCACATATGATATCCAGATTTTTAAGGCAAGTTTTGAAACAAGGAGGACCACCCAGAAGATTCTTTCAGACCTTTTTCTACAACAGCATTATAAGTCGCTCCACACAAAGTGCTCCAATCGAGCAGGAGACACATTAAAAACTAATCGAATGGTGATGACACACGGTAGTCGTGCAAGGTCTTATTTGCAAAGCAGATGGAAAGCCTTGGCCTGTCCAACATTAATTACAATCACATTCGGATAGGAAGCCGTCCCTCCTCCAGGGCGGTTAGGACTTTGTGTACGGCTGGAGGAGATGGCAACCTAATCCCCCGGCCACCGCAGAAATCTGAGGGAATCGTCAAAGGATGCACAGGACACGATTAATCAAAGTAAAGAGCCAGATGTGCAACAACGCTAGAGAAAAAAACCCCAAACTGACACAGCACAGGAATACCAAAACCACACACATACACCACACCGCCACCATCACACTCCTACACAGGAGCCAACTGAGAGGCTTCGATATTTGAGACCAAAAAGACGGCCTCCTTCTGTCTGAATATCTGGTTTTCATCACTTTATGTTGCAACACAAATCCTCAGAGGATCAAAAGAAGAGAATGCTTTTTTAAAATTCCTGTCCTAATTCTTTTCTTCATGTGTGGTTCTGACAAAATAATACAATGCTTTATTCAAAAGTGATGTGGTGAAAAATGTTCTTTCCTTAAGAAGCTTTAAAGAAGTGGGAATATTTCTTCAGCAGTGCTACATTGGCCCTGTTATCACGGCTGGGTAATGACAATACCCAATGATTTCCCAAGGAGAATGACATCAATCTGGATCTTAGCCTTCATGTCCACCAGCGTTTGACTCTGGCAGCTCCTCTGTTTATCTTCTTGCACTCTGTTTAGAGTCCCTCAGTAAACACTTGGGCTGCTAATGGAAGGAAGGACTTCGGGCTTTTAAGTCACAAACTCATTATGATTAAAGTGTTCCTCTTTATCGTCAATGCAGCTAATTAAAGACAAATCTTCTTGGGTAACACAAACAATGCGACGCAATTTACGCGTGGAAACCGTAACTCGCTGCGCTGGAGGTCAATGACAGGAATAGTAGATCTTTATATACAAATACCAGTGGTGGTGGTTGATGGCTTGCTTGGGATACTAGGTCTGTTTTGTCCGCGAAGACATAAATCATGGAGTAGAATGCACGACAAGACAGGCCACAGAATCTCCGCCGTATAAATGAGCCGAGAAGGGCCAATCTACGCGGAGAGAAGATATAATAAATTACTGCGAAACAATACAGACCTCAACATGTTTCTTTAGTCTAAAGAGGAAGAGGGAGTTTCTGCCTTTGTGAGATTCACAAAACAATCCATTAAAAAAAAGTTCCCCCAAGTAATTAAAAAGGGATCCATGTCCGGATAATATGTGTCTTTGTGAAATTAAGAACTATGTTAAGATTAACAGAAGCCTTATTTGTGCTTTTTATAAGTCATATCCACATAGAATATTTTTCATGGTTAAGTTTCTCCTCAGTGATTCTTCACTTCAACCGCTCATGTGCCAAGCACCTGTTCACCTTAATTTCATTCTGGCATTGATTTGAAGTATCGTCAGATCAACCTGACAATGACAAACACATCTCATAGAAGCGTAATTGCTAAAAAATTTTTTAAAAAGCAGTACATTTAAAAAACAAGAAACTTACCCAGGTTTACGAAGCTCATCACCATATCTGCATCGTTTAGAAAGGCAGTTTCTTGAAACGTGGCTAGAGGAGGACTCTGGGTCGTGCGCATTGACAGATACTGATCCAGCATGCCTTCCACTTGGCTTTTCTCCTCGGTAGAAATGGTGTTGTACAAGTCCAACATAAAAAGTGGAGCGGAATTGTACTTTCCATGTGACAAATGCGGTCTCGGTCTGTGTGGAAGCCCGAGGATGGACAGGATCTCCTTCTGCATCTCCCTCTTCTCGTGCGTCCTTAGCCGCCGGTGGATGAAACCCGGGTGCACCTCGTTGTTTCCATCCAGTGAATAATTACTCCCTGCGACCTGGAACATGCAGTAATAAGCGCTCCACCACAATCCGACCAAGGCAAGCCAGCAGCTGGTCATGGTGTTGTCCCGCTATGCTCTCCGGAGTCCCAAGTGTGTCTGGCTTGGATCCTTCAGTCGCTAAGCCGAATGTAAAATGTGCGTAATGGTAACCAAAGTCCGTCCGAAGCGCGCTGTTATCTGTGGCAGCCGCGGATCACAATCAAGAAAGCACTCATGAATCAAGCCATTTGAAATACTTTAAAAAGAGAAAAGCGCAGAAAAGTATCGACTCTGCTTTCATTTCTAATCTACGTAGAGCGCTGTGCTGCGTCAGGATAAAGTGCACCATGAGAAACTTTATTCTGGACGCTCCGAAAAGTCGGTCAAAAGTCACCGTTTGATTTGAAGTTCACTAATAAAAGAGCTACAAGATGTACTCTGAAAGAAGCCATTCCCCTTAAGCCGATATGCTTGCTCTCCAAATGTGAGATTTCGGTACGTTGCGCACTGTCAAGAGCCGCCCTATAGTTGAAGTGGCCTCGGTGAGAGTGACCAACTCCTACTGGTTGTGTGTGAGAGTCTTAACACTAATCTGCAGGTTGCAGTCCATAATATGCATGCGCGCGCGTGTACGTGTCTCGTGTGTTTGTGTGTGTGCTCATGAAACCGCCCACTCCACGCGCACTGTGCCAGAGGTGGAGCTCTTCAGGCTGCAAGGACAATCATATTTCGAGATTCTGTTCAAGTAAGAAAAGCCGGTATTTTCAGATTGACCTATGTCGCTTTTACTAAGCTCAGTGTTATATATTCATTTATACAATGACTTTGAAAAAACAGATATTTATTTTTTGTATCTATAAACGTTGTTACAAGTAACTTAATACGGAATAACTTGAGATAGTCCAGCTGGGAATCTAGGAACCTATTTGCACTATATATTGCATAGATCTGTAATGCTAAACGCATGCGTGTCCAGAATGGAGGTGTGTGGCCTGTTCACTGAAGCAGAATAAATGTGACCGGTTTAGGCACGACCCCTTACGATGGAGTTGGAAACAGCAAGCATGACCCAGAGCACTGGAAGTTATCTGATCTCATTTAAAGACTCGGACACCAGCGGTAATAAGTAGGCTACTTCATTTGAATGTGTTTACATTTGATGGTCACCTCTTTTGTTGTAAGTGAACACATCGCACCTCAATGTCTGCTGTACGATTTCATGCTGCCCTAAAACATTTTTTAAGTAGTATTATGAGAACAAATGGCAGCAGAGCACAACTGAAGCTCTACGTGAACAGATAAGGAATTCTTGAAAATCCTTATTTCCCTCTCTCCCTCCTCTTCCTCCCATCATTCCTTTCACCCATACCTGTGTTATGTCTTCGTGGTCCCTTCAGACAGTGATGGTCCTGGTGATAAGACCCAAAGGTGTCTATATCTCTGAGTCTCTGCTACTGGTGCTACTGCTGAGCCTATCTTATCTGCGTGTGAAGAGTGAGAAGCAGCATCAAAGCTCTGCATACCAGCACAGGACCAAACAGCTGTGACTGATGTTTAACATTTAAGACTTAATTCAACATCTCTAAAATATAATACGATTTAATGTAGTCAAAGTCCTGTTACAGCATATTAAAAGGTCTGTTTTGAGGGTTTTTCCATATGTTTGCCCGGGCATTTTCAAAAGCCTTCTATTTATATCTCTAAGACAATTCTAAAATAAATATCATACTAGTAGAGACAAAAAAATATATGAAGAAAAAGTGTGTCTTTGTTTTAACAGTGGCAACCTGATACATCAAACTTGAAGAAACGCTGGATAGAAAATTACGATTTAATAAAATGTGTGATTTAAAAAAAAAAATGAAACCTTATTCCAGCATAATTTTACCCATTTGGTGGTCTCATCAACAACAACAACAACAACAACAAAAAGTAATTTTACTAGCATAGTTTCCATCAAGGAAGCTTTTTTGGCTCAAGCACTGATTACAAAAAAAAAAAGTCATTCTCCAGATCCAAACTTAGAATAGGAATGTAATAGTTCACAAGTGATTAACCTGAGGCACATGTCAGCATCTTCTTTGGTTCTTTTGACAATAGCATTTATTTTTTCTTTATGTCCTAATCATTTTACTTGACATTAAACTGTGTGTGTGCGACTCGGAAGAAGAGCAGGTGATGTGTGTGTGTGTGTGTGTGTGTGTGTGTGTGTGTGTGTGTGTGTGTGTGTGTGTGCTAGGTGAATTGGAAGCAGAAGGAGGAGGAAACATTAAACAGAGGTTCTGTGTCCTGTCATCACACTGTCTAGACAGGACACCTCCTAGACCTAATGAGGTCTTTGTATATCTCTCTTTTGCTCTCTCTCTCTCTCTCTCTCTCTCTCACACACACACACACACACACACACACACACACACACACACACACACACACACACACACACACACACACACACACACACACACACACACACACACACACACACACACACACACACCATGATACACCTTGGTTTTACTTCTTCTCTGCGAGGCATTTTTATTAAAGAGCACTAAAAGGTTATGAAGGAGTTCAGACAAATTCAAACACAGAGACAAACGTGTATGTGTGCTCAACTATAAAACAGACACACACATCTCCCTAACGCACAAAAGTAAGGGGACGCATTCTCCAAAACCGAAGGAATGCTTACACCTGGCACAGATCTGACAAGAAGTGCTGAATCTTCTGCAATAATTACAGTAGACTGCATAGGATACTTTGTCACAACACACGCACCAACACAGACATCATATCCCAGTAATTAAGTGTTTTTATCTCAAATGAATAATGACGAGCCACTGCAGGTTTTCTGCCTGTGATGGCTTTTTGTTTTTATGTGTTGCATTTGTTTTGTAGTCACTGTCTTCCTATGTGACCGCTTTGCTTTAAAAACATTACAACATAAGAAGCTCGATGACTTTTTTGTTAAATCTTGAACATTTATAACTGGTTTAATTGGACTGTGTTAAACCTATTTACCTATGAAACCTTTTGTCAAAACAAAATGAGTTAATTAACCAGTTATAGTTTTGTGTCTATACTTGATGTTGGGTTCCGCTTTCTGTCAACCTTCAGAGTCCAAACAATCCTCATTTGAAAATAGCTTTGGCTACATTAGCACAACATATGGAGCTTTTCTGATTGCTCATTGCTCTCAATAGCAACCTGACAGCACAACAGACAGATTAGATGCAGCAATATGTGGTTGATCACCTGAGAATCAATGTTCACAAGTCTGCTGCAAAGAAAACTCCTAGGAAAATGTTCCTCCTCTTCCCTCTCCAGTAGAGAATCTGGTTGCTCCGGCGACAGCTTCTGCTTGGATGACAGGAACTCCGTGGTCTATCTCGTACTGCATGGCCTGGATGACACATTAAAACCAATTTAAACATGACTTTTGTTTTGATACAGTATGGTAGAATGATTGTATGATTGTGTACCTGTGTGAAGGATGGAGCGTTGTAGCAGCTGTACATGGCAGAGGAGCGATCAGCCCGCAGACACTGCTGAGGAAAGGAGCTGATCTCCTCTGCTAGCTGCAGGGCCGCCTGTAAAGCTGTGGTTACATTATAAAGTCAGTCTAACAATCACATAAACAAACATACAGAACTTGATGCATAGCATGAGCAGCAAAGGAAATGTATACAATCACACATTTGTGTGTTTTCTTCTCATTATGATAACCCCTCCTCTTATTGGATAAACAACAATCACCAGTCCTTCCCTGCTGCCTTGTCCCTGTGAGTTTGACCCATACCACTCTGCCTCCTCAAAAACATCAGGACACAGGACCACATCCATGTCAGTCCTATGGGAGAAACTACACCTCATGATACCACAAACAACTTCCTGCGATTGAATGCGTGCTGATGAGCCGCTTCTTCATCGCTTCACTCTGATGTGAAACCTGCACTAAGTGTCCGCCCCTCAGAGAGGCCGGTTAGACACAGGCTTGAACTTCATAATAGAATCAAGCTAATCGTCAAACGTCAGAGGAGATGGGGGGAGATAGGGAACCACTGGTCTACATGACTGGTTGACACAGTTAATAACAGTTCCTACTTCTCCCAAGAGGCGGAGGGCTGCCAACCTTCCCCATATCTCTGATATTGGGGTAGCTTATATTTCTAATATTTCTAATCTCTAAACTTTACCATTAAATGTCTAAAACTAGCCTACACTGTGCACACACCTACTTTGTACTTAATGCATAGTTCCCTGAGATCCTTTTGTAATAAGTCTTGTTGTGATTGACCAATCTGACGATGTAAGCCACGCACTAACTCCAGTACCTTGCCCATCCGGAACCACTCTGTTAGCCAGTCCGTAGGCGAGGGCCTCCTGTGCTCCAATTGGCCGTCCAGTCAGTATCAGGTCGAGGGCTCGTGAAAGGCCAATGAGATGTGGGAGCCGCACGGTGCCGCCGTCAATCAGGGGAACTCCTGGAAGAGGGAAAGATGATGTTTTTATGACCTGTGATGTGATGTCATCATCGTCTTCTTTAATTTAATATTGTTATCATCATCTTGCTGACTTTTCTCTTTTATTTTATTGGTACTGCTTTATAGCCGTAACTGTTTGGACTTCCTTCCTTTGCTTTGTCTGGTAAAGCACTTTTTAAACTTTTAAAGGTGCTATATAAATACAGTTATTATTATTATTATTATTATTATAAAACACCTACTGACTGTAACATATCTGAACCTTAATGCTGCATTGTTGATCCATTAAACTTGGAGATTTCATGAGTCTGAGGGACATCTTGCTAACACTTTATAATAACCATCAAGAAAGGGTAAATTAATAGTTAATATAGGCCAATGTGCCAGTGTGTTACATTCTGCTGAAATACCTGATATACCGCTGGTATTAGGTAACGTCTGTCATGGGAACAAAGTTTTGAAATAATTTGACTCCTCGACTGTAACTCAGTTTTCTTCCCTTCAGTATGTGAAAACTCAAACTCCTCCTAACTTGTAGTCTCACTGGACACATTTGCATTATTACTGAATCGACCAGGGAGAAAGTGGAAAAGGAGGGAGAGAGAGAGAGAGAGAGAAATAAGAGGATAGAGAGTACATTGCAAGGTATAGTAAGCTCCTGGCATCTGTCCTAATTTCTAAAGAGCACCAGCTGCAACTGGCAAACTTTCTACTGTTTAACTCTCCCAAGCTCCACACCACAATCCTGACTCCCTAATTCCTCAGTCTCTGATTCTTTTTGACCACCCCTTATTGAGAGCACATGTGTCAGACATGTTTTCATAACCCCGAATCATCATGCAGGCTTTCAGGGTTTTTTTTTTTTCATCCCCCCCTCTCTCATTTTGTGGGGAGTCGTGGAAAAACTGTGATTCTATTCATACTCTGCAAGCTACTCTCGTTCTCAATTTAGTTCAAATAAATCTAAATTGGAATACATGGGATTCCAGTGTTAAGACACATGTGACCAATCCAGGAGCCCGGCTTGAGTTCAGACCTTCAGCACATATGCCAGACAGAAGAGGAGGTTTGTTTGTGTCCTCTTCTTTAAGTGTTTGTGAAGTTCAAGCTGTTTTCTACATTCAACTCAGACAACAACAGCTTGGTTCTGGGAGGATTTGCTCCAGAGAGCTTTATATTGCACGAAATGTAACTACACACAGTTAAAGTAGGGCTGGGAATCTTTGGGTGTCTCAAGATTCGATTCAATTCTCGGGTTCACAATTCGATTCGGAATCTATTTTCGATTCAAAACGATTCTTGATCGATGGATTCAAAGTCTATTTTTGAAAAAGTACATACTTTAGGATCTACTCCAGTCATCTGTGAGACTGGCTGGATTTCATTTGGCATTCTACTGAGTTAAAGAGCTAGCCATAAAACTTAGCAGGGAGTGACTGATTAGCCAAAAAAAAAAAAAAGTGAAGTTATGAATCTATTCAAAATCTCAGAAGATAAGAACCAAGTCTGCTAAGCGAATTGTAGAATTGTAGAAGAAACTTGATCTTTACAAACATCAATTTTTTTCCCCACCTCTAGTTACAAACCCAAGAGTGTCTGTCCCACACTCAAATCAGATGAACTCAAGGATCAGACAACACACCCTGAGCGATTTTCAAATTTGTTCATTCATATTTGAAGTTACTGTGAAGGACATTTATTTTGTGATGATCTTGGTGAACAATGTTGACAAAGCATTACCTCGTATCTCTTTGCTAATCGTGTCCTGTACACGTGTAGGAAGTGATTTAACACAGAAAAAACTCCTCCTGCATTTATTTGATAGTCCAACATGTTACCGACTCTGAACTGTGCGGTGGAAAACGTTTTTAAAAAAGTTCTGTCAGTGTGCTGTTTCTCTGATAGAAACCTGATGACAGCAGTTACAGGCATTAAAAATCACATTATCATCAATCTTCTCACTGACAGTCTGGTTTGCTTTTTTTTTAACCATGTTCCAAGACCACAAATATATTTTTAACTGCTAACTACATTTTCACTGTCTATTTGAAATGATTTATCCAATCCTCTTTTCTATTTCAACCAACAAAGAGAAACGTTCAACTGTCTAATCATTACTTTCAGCTACTTAATCATATGTAAAGAACTTTTTTCACTATCTACCCATCACTTTTCGTACATTAGCATACCTTTATCTTTTTTGTGTATCGAGCCCTATCAGTTTTTATTTGTTGTCTTTCTGAATGTTCCATGTGGTACTGCAAAGTTCCCTCTGTCACACATGTGAGTGAGGGTCTATACGTTTCCGGCACTATCACTCTTGATTACAGCAAAAGACAAAAAGAGGAAGCAACAGGAATGACAGAGAGATTGAAGGAAACGGTAAGAAGTGAAATGAAGTAGAGGAAGACCGAGCCTGACTCCAAGAAGGAGAGATAAAGAGCCAGGTTGACCTCCAGTCTGTCTGTCTTTGGTGCTGCTGTTGGCACCGTTGCTATCAGTAACCGGAAGGATCTCTCGTCTTATCCACAACACTCGTCTCCAGCACCTCAAACCCTCACCCTCTCTGTCGGATAGTCCTGTCTCTGATGCGTCCTGTTTCCAGGAATTCACCCAGACCTGCGCTTTGTCCCACATGAATGGGAGCTGAGAGGTGCAGAGACCCTCTTTGAAGTGCGTTTAACTCAAAAGGCATGTTAGGCTTGAAAAGAAGAAGACGGTCGAAGCAAAGTTTGGTGGCTTCTGATCCTCTACTCCGAGTTTCATAGAAGAGAAATCTTTGGCAGGGATCCTGAAACATGGTTATCAGTCATCTCCTGCAGAACCAGAGTGAGGATTTGTGATTGTTGTTCTTGAAAAATGAGCAACACATTCAAAAAGGAGCCACCGTCTTCTTCTGTAAAGCACGTAAGCCCGTTGTCAAGACTGCAGCTTGTTCCTAACAAGGTTTAACATGAGTCAGCAAAATCTAAATATTTAGATGAAGAGTTGGTTGTTTTCATGCTTGATAGGACATCATGATTCATCTGACTCAAGTGAAGGCTACAGAGTTTGAAATAATGTGAAGACAAAACTCAGCTCTTCCCAAAAATTGAATAATTTATCAAAAACACTTATATTTACAAATCCAGGCTTCTTCTGGATTTTGTTCACAGGAAAAAAGAGTAGCAATAATATTTTCATCACATTATTCGTTCAAAAACAACACACCACGGGTGCTCGTGGTTATCGAGGCGCCCCCACGTATGGAGGCTATAGTCCTCAAAGCGGGCGGCCGGGTTCAAATCCGACCTGTGGCTCCTTTCCCGCATGTCATTCCCCACTCTCTCTCTCTTTTTGATTTCAGACTATCCACCTTTCCCTAAAAATAAAAGGCATGAAAAGCCCAAAAATAAATCTTAAAAAAATATAATTTACGATTGCTTCTAAGTTCAAAACTGTTAAAACATGTAGATCGCCTCTTTTATGGGCTGAATCCCCCCCCCCCCTTTTGAAAATGAAGGTCATAACAGAACATAAGAAGAGGTTTCTGTGACTTTGCTGTAAGTGGCAACAGTTGTCTGTTAAGTAAGTAAACTATTCAAGCAGAGGCATCTCTCTTCAGTGCATTAATAAAAACAGGCAGCAGTTATCAATGAGACAACATCTGACCTTTGTCCACACTTCCTGTTCAGCTCGTATCTTCCCTGCTTCCCTCCACATGTCCATATTTCCATACTAAAAATCATCCACTTGTTACTCCTACAAAGACAACTCTTCCCTAACAAGCTTGAAGACAGCTGATTGGAGCTTTCATCTGAACACTTGGAGCACTCGGGCGACCGATGCAGAACAGTTATTATAATTGGTACAAACTGTGATTAAGAGCCTTCACCTGATGAGGTATCAGATCTTCAATCTTACCTCTGAATAAAACTTGACAGCAGAGTTTGACACACGACACTCTGAAGGGTTCTGCTGTGCTACTGGTGCTGCTTGAATCCTCACCACATCAAAGTGAACCCCACAACAATGGCCTCCCATGAGGGTAATGAGATTAAGTTTGATGTGGAGTCATGATTTCCGGACAACTCCGGACTAAACGCTCAAAGAGAAAAGAGCAGACCTTCAATCAGAATCTCACTTTAACAGGCAATTTGACTCAAAGGAATTCACTCTAATAGGCTGGTTTAAAGATGAGTGTCACAAAGTCAACATGATTTGATGTATTTAGCCCACTGAGGTTCAACCTGTAGCATGTTCCTGTATTCTGTAGTTTGCAGCTGGATAATACCAGACCACTGAGGTTTGAAAGCTGACCTTAAACCATACAAATGGCAAAGTAAGCGCAGCATCACCAAGAGCAAATCAAACAAAAGTTTAAACTATCAGGAATCAAATCAGCGAAAAGATTTGTACATTTTTCAGTACGCTGTTTAAGTATATCCTTACTGTGGGTTTAGACATGAGCGTGACAGTTTGTGTCAGATCCAAATGATCTTGCAGCCATTTATCAAAGTGTCTGCACATAACTGCAGAGTCAATTCACTCTTTATTGAAAAAAATATCCTCAAGATTCTAAAGGAGCGCAGATTCAAGGCAAAATGATGTCATCACTGGACTATGTCACTCGGTATCAAACTCACAGAGCGGGTGTTTTAATTGGCCGATGTTATGTCAGCTTTGGACTGAGGTTTGACTTTCTCGATTCAACATGTGGCTTCTTCTTATTCGGCCCTCTTTGTCTGTCCCCTGTCCAGGTATGAGAAAGGACTTCAAAACTGAGAAGAAGAGAAAAAGCAGAGCGACCAACATGACTGATTGGTGTGTTTAAAGAGTCCCCATTTAGCCGTCTCTGTTTCAAACAGGAAAAGCCAAGGACTACAATGGTGATACTGAACAACCTCTGGGCTTGAGTGGATTCAGCCTCAGAAATATCCTTGCATGAATTATTACTAAACTATTTTAAGTTTCCCTTTCTTGTGCCAACTTTTTTTTATATTCTCCTGGTTAAAGGATCCAAAATAACATCAGGGAATTAGGTTAGTGTTTTTTTTTTTTTTATTCAGGTCTCTTAGAATTCAATGAACATTAGACACTAATACCAGACTGCTGTGACGCAACCCTCTCGTCCTTCTCATTTCCTCCTTGAAGAGGCAGAGGGGCCCCAGACAGGAAGCCACAGGTTCAGTAGCCAATCAAGTGCCAGAAAGCTGTCAGATCCTTATGGTTGCCATTGGCCCACATCAGAGCAGTGCAGAGAGCCTCTGAGGGTTTTTTTTTTTTTTCTTTTCGACTCCAAAACCACCAGGGATTCCCTCGGGCTGCTGCCATCTGTGCCCAACCCCAAAATGGTTTGAGAAATCAACTTTGAAAGGAAATAATCTGTAAGAAACACCGGATCCTAAAATAAACTTAGTGTTCCACAGAGCAGTGCTGCTTTTGATGTTCATGTGGAGGGAAGTTCACTTTCCAAGTCAACTTGTTTCTTTGTCTTTCCGCTGTAAAGGCTCTTTACTTAAAGTCTTAAATCTTAGAATAGTCTCGTTTTGAAAGACAGCTCCGAAAAATCTTCCAAATGTTTCCTGAACCAAACCAGAAACTTATTGTACAAGGTTGAAAAAGAAACATTGTGAAGCTCAAAGGTAGTCTGAGTAAAACAATCACTCTGCTAACTGTGCATCTGAAAGAAATACCTCAGTGGTTCCAGCTTAGCTGAGGGAGAGGACTCTCGTGTGTCGACAAACAAGTCTTGAAGATATGTGGCAATCAAGAGGCTTAGAATTAACTGCTGAGGAAGAAATGTGCAACCTCATGTTGAAACCGCATTAATGTTTATTTATTCCTTCCAATCGTAGTTTGAGCTGATGGAAGACGTTTGAAATCCGACCTTAGTTTCATTTCATCCCTGATGTCACATGCACAGTTCAGACTGCAGAGACGTAGAACTAAAAGGGGCTCGCATGATGACTTTTAAACTCGGAGCTAATGTTTGTACCCACTTAACTCACGTTAACTATCAAAACAATGATTTCATAGCAGGGTAGTTAGACTATTCATACCCTTCGCACCCACCAATCTGGCGGGCCAGAAGTGCCTCCTACTGCCGAACAATACCATTAGTTATCAGTCTCAGTTTCCATCTACATGTTTTATAACCAGCTTTATTTATTTTTTAGTGAAAGACATGATGATGCACTAACTCAGAGACAGATTGTGCTTCTGCAGAGTTTAACCTGAGAAAGAAAGTCCAGAGGAGGAGATTGTGGAGTAAGACTCTCTGCTGTCCCTGTGAGGGAACAAAAGAACAGACTTCTTATCCTGACATCAAATATTGTGTTAACCTGATGAAAATATGACTGACTTTTAAGTAACATTACTGCTCCAGAACACTGACATACTAATGTCAGGTAACATTAACTTGCTCATGTTAGCTTATTAGCACTCTCAGATGTTTGGAAGATGGATAATTTCTCGTCTTTAACTTCCCAAAGGGGGCCTCATTGACTCGGCTACAAAAAACATACATAAAGCTGTTTGACTATTCAGCAGACGTTCATCCTTAAGCAGTGTAAGGGGAGGGATTTCCTGTGGTTGTCAGGTGATGTCAAAATTAGAGCCCGACCAATTCTTCGGCCAGCCGATAATATTAGCCGATATTAGCATACCCAGTGACTATCAGTAATTTTATGGCAGATATGCACCAAAATTACTCGACTGATTCACCAGTCAAATAGAATTTCATTTGAGTTTGATTGTATTATACTAGCAGAGTGTGTTATATGGACTATAACATGCATCATCATGCTCCAGAGTGTGAAGCCGTGATGCACGTATGTGCAGTTGCTTTCCAGTTAAGTACCATCTTGTCTTCTTTATACTGTTTTTTTCCCAACAGTGTTTGATAACTGCATTTTAGGGATTTATGCAAAAAAAAGTTTTCATCTATATCTAACTCTACAGGTGGAACATAGATCAAAAAAATATATCAGCCGATATATCGGTATCAATTGGTTTTCCTCCCCAATATCCATATCGGCCCTAAAAAATCGGTCGGGCCCCAGTCAAAAAGCATCATTTTGAAGAGATAGAAAATGAACAAGCCCGCGCTGCATCTCCACAGTGTGTTCAATGATCGCCGTGACTTTCCTAAGCTCTTTCTGCCCACCAAGCCTTCACGCCAGTCACTTGAATGAAAGCTATGAAATCCACCAGAAACTGGAGTTAAGCCTGGCACTGAAAATGCTCTACCAGACGTCTGAACAGTCAGACAGACGGAAAGACAAGGACACTGCCAGAAGGATCTCTCCCCTCAATGACAGGCCTGAGATGATAAGCCCGGCATGTTTACACTCTGAATCTAGTACTGCCAGTAAATTATAGTACAACCGTTGTATTTATAAACACCATGGTTGTATTTTCAAACCCTCTAGCAGCATGGCTACAGAAATGACAGCTATATGAGAGATGCTGCAACAGACCTACACACACCACTTTTACAGTGTAACAAAAAACAACCAGGACTTGAAGGGACTGGGACTAGCAGAGGATCCAAAGTACCACTTGTTTTTTTAACTATAGCAGAGTCAGAGGGCAAACCATGCCAATAAGCCAAGAGACGCCTGAAAAGGAAAATGTTGTTTATGAGGAAATTGTGTGACATAAATAATATGTAAGCCCTGTTTGGCTCTGCAGTGGAAACCTGGCAGTCAGTCGTTTCCTCTCCTACTTATCAAGACTGCCCAGCAGACTCTGGCCGTGATGCTGAAAGGTCACAGTCACTGCTGTTATCACACTATGACTACGTCCTAGCGCACAAACAAGAGGAGGCTGCGGTGATAGCAGAGGACAGAGCAACAAAGTTTAAAAAATAGAAACACTGTCAACTTCCTGGCATTAGGACACCGATGATGAATGCTTGGATGCAGAGGAAAACAAACGAATACTTTCATGGACAGACAGACGGAGCAGCACAGCTGAAACTAAAGGGGAACAGAAGTCTGCAACAAGAAAAAAAGACCAAATGTCTCTCCAACAGAGTCAGTTATAGCAGCAAAACCATGTTTACTTCTAAGAGGAGGGATATGATTGTATTAGCAATATGCAACATTACTGGATAAAATAAGAAACAGCAACAGGAATTCTGACAGGAGAAGAGTCAAGTGGAGGATGTGGCCTTTCTTAGTAGAAGCTGAAATTATGCTGCCACAATAACTAGAGACAGAAGCAGGGATGTACAAAGACGTACTTTAATTGGCAGAAGAAGTTTTTGTTTTAGTGCTAGTCTGCAACTAGTGGAGATGTTACCTGCTGTGATAACAATATGTAGTCTGTGTTATAAACACTAGGCCTCTATCCTACTCAGAATGTAGTCATCAAATCAGAAAGTTCATTTTCAAAGCAAAACTTTCAACACACTTATATTCAGAAGCTTTTGAATGAGGCTCATGTCTTTGAGAACGCCAGCTGTCCGGCAGATTAAAACGTTTCAGGTTGAAAACTAACTCAGTGTTTTAGGTCAAGTCACCACCATCGTTGTACACTGAGGCAGCTAAAATATAAAGCCGAGATATTCGTCTGGCAAAATGAGTCAACTCAGGGTCTTCTTGATTGATGATTTCAATTTTATAACGGCCGACTTATCGATACCATTAGTGATAACATTAATTAATTAATCTAACTACAAGCTGACCCTTTATTGTAAAAGAACTTACTAATAGAGGGAGGCTCTATAGTTGAAGTTTCATCGAGCACTGCACCAATGTTGAATTAATCTCTTGGCCAGAATGATAAACCAGAGAAGGTGAACAAGCAGCATGGAAACTCTTTTATATCCAACACTGCCTCAAAGTAAGACCCTGGATGCAGTGTTGCTGCTCGGCTGACAACAGATCATTATTTTTTGGTCATATTGTGCAACTTCCAGGTGTGGATCAGTGAAACAGAGTCAGTGTGAGTGTCAGAGAGTTCCAAGGATAGGAGAGCATAAACATGCAATCTCTCATGTGATATGGATTTTTAGAAGAATTAGTACTATCTTACCAAACTTTCTATCAAAGGGACAGTACAGCAAAGTGTACAAGTGACTGAGGTATCAGTTGCATGAGGTGAGAGACTTACCAAACCTGCGACAGAACACCCCCATGACGGCGCTCTCCTCTACCACTCTTAGATCCGCCAGCAGAGCCAGCTCCAGCCCTCCAGCCACAGCAAAACCACTGACTGCTGCGATCAGCGGCTTTGAGAGCTCTAAACGAGATGGACCCTGCAGGAAACGATCCCATTAGTTCATCTAATACACAAAAATACATGACAAGCTGTTTTACTGACGGAAGGGATACACATTTTAACAAAAGGGAGGAACAAAACTTCTTGTAAAGTTGATCTGATTTACAATATTCATGAATTATATTTTATCCTTTAATTCGATTTAATAAGTGACATAGTATTCAAGTTCTTGCTGTTACTATAACAGCCCACATAATAATATTCACTTTCACTTCTGACCTGCATCTGAAATACTTTATTAAGTGCAAAACAAAAGCCATGTCTTAAAATCATATGGAAATATAGAAATGAACCTCACTAGCACAAAACTCACACACACGCATCACGAATGGCGCTCACCATCGGACCAGGACCCTTGGTGACATCTTGCTCCAATTTAAGGAGGGCTGCGTGATTGGCCAGCTCTTTCAGATCATAACCAGCACAGAAATTCCCTCCTGAAGGAGACCACAAAATTACAAACTATGGCAGCTGGCGAGTCAGAGAGGAAGGGAAAATGATGAGGATGATAAAAAAAAAACAAGTTGAGCTGGAGTCCAAGGTCTACAATTTGGATAGCAGCTTGCTTTGGCCTGGCTGGCACACAACAGCATCTCTTCCCTGAAGAGCCCAATTTCAATACATAGTCACAGTTTACACATGTGCCTGTGCACACTTATGCACATACACAATATCCTCATTAATGGAAGACAAGCATGCTCCAACCACAGCCCCTTCCGTTGGATTTATGTGGTAATTACAACATTACCCGAGAGGCCAACAAACACTATGTCACAGGCTCCGGCAGGGACTCGTAAAATCCTCCTCTCTACTTAATGTAACAGTAATGAAAATGATTATAACGAACACATGCGCCAGTAACACCCATCAACTTGGAGCTTTGATTACAGCTGTGGGTCAGCACAGGGCAATTATAGAAAGAGTGCATCATGCTGTTTATTGCAGCAGTGATGTGACAGAGCTCCCTAAAGCCCTTTGTCCTTGTAAGAGCAAGTAGAAACTGTGAAGTTTGATAGGGAACTGAGAGGCCGAATGGACTGACAGATATTTTACAAGCGCTGAAGAGTTAGATGTAAGAAAACCAGATGCCAGAGTTTAATCAGAAATGTTGCCGTGATAGAAGAACCATAATCAGGAGACAGAGATGACGGACCAACGTCTCCCACCCAACCTTGGAAAAGAAAAAAAAACATACTTTGAGAAACTATGATAAGTACAGGACAGAGGGAACATGGGCTGGGACACAAAGGCAGTTTTTCACTGATACAGAAGGACATGTAATCAGGTAGGCAGGGTTCAGGGTGGAAAAAAACTTTAAGGCAAAATGCCATGAGGTGAAACAAAAACAAAGCAATGAGCCATATAGCAACTATGAGGAAAAGGATGAGGGGACGGTTTATTAAGTGGGTGGTTGATGAGGAAAGTAAGAACATGTGAACAAGTTTGTTCATCGTTTCTTTAACTTGTGCATCCTCTCTTCTCAGAAGACCTGAAAATCATCCTCCTGCATCATGATGGAGGATCCTCGAATTTCCTAAATGTACATGAAGGAGGCGAGGATTGAGGAGATGTACAGTAAATACATCTATAACAGAAACTAGAGGTTTTAAAATGCTTTTTAAACTAGTGGTTACCTGAACATTCTTACACTAGGTGCTAGAGCTGATACAGCAGTGCAGCACATCATCAGTACTTGACGTCGTCTTAGAGACTGACGCTGAAGAACGAGAACTTCTCATCTGGAAAATGTGCCTTCACCTCTTTTCTTCACATCTATCTTTAAAATTCTCTCTGAAAGGGGGCCCCTGAGGCCTAGTGGTTAGTGCGTGCACCCAACGTACAGCCCTTCAAGTGGGAAGCCCGGGTTTAGATAGGCGTAAAAAGCCTCAAATAAACATTTGAAAAAAATTACTGTCTCTTAAAGAAGCTGAGATGCAAAGAAGAGATGCAAGAGGAGACACATTTGTTGAATGACATGGACCCCATGTGAACAAGCAGGGGGTCAGATGACGGCAGGGCTGATGAGTGAGTCTGATGGTGACGTCTGAGGGCATCTGGTGGACGGCTGGAAGATGGCAGTTCTTGGATATTGACAGAGAGAACACGGCCGGGGAGAAGAGAGCAGGTGAAGGAACAATTCAAAGGGAGGTGCATAAACGGACTCTTTCACTCTGCTGAACTCGTTGTTAACACATCTCAGGACTAATTCTTCTGTAGAGAATATTCGATATGACAGAAGAATGTTGACCAACTGGAGGTCATGAAATAAATCTGAGGTGTAGACGTACAAATTCACTTATGAACTGTCACAGATGGACAATGCTTACTATGCTACTAATGCTAAAAAGCCAAAGAAACAAAAACTGCAGATGACAGAAGTGTGTGTTTAAAATTGGAGTAGCAGTTTGGGAGAGACTCAGTCCTTTTTCAAATTGGCTACATGTTTTTCCTTCGAGACATTTTGACATTAAACTAAAGCAAAGACACGATACCCAAACAATAAGTTTGAATTCCACTGGCTGGATCAGGGTCTTGGTATTGTTCATTCTGACTCACTAGGGGCTGAGAGATTGCCAGTTGAAGGCGGGACACTTACACCGCCCCGTTACGCCTTGGGTACAATGTGTACAAACACACGGATGCGGAATGGTGGAGCGAAGTCGTTATCGAGTAGTAGTCAAGGAAGAACAATTCTGCTAGTGTGTGTGTGTGTGTGTGTGTGTGTGTGTGTGTGTGTGTGTGAGTGATTTTGCATGTCTGAGTGTGTCTGTGTACACACTGTGCATCTCAATGTGAATTCACACACTGGGACACCAACATTACATCATTATGGATGTCATGTGTAAGTACAAGGGCGTAATGATGGCAGCACTGTTGTGGAACCCCACTCTGTAAAAGGCTACTGTCACGCTAAAGTCTTTACCGGGACACTTGAATAGGACTCCGCCTACTTTGACACGTCCAAATGTCTGCTCAGAAAAAAGGTCCATCATTTTAAGACACGCAGGGTTTGATCCGTTTACACAGAGAGCCTCTACAGCTGAACTAGTCATGTTTCACTGCTGTGTGAACGAGTACCTGACTTACACTCACCTGTGTTTGTTTAATGGATTTCTTGGTCTTAGAAACAAAAGAAAAGCAAAATTACATTGACAGCACTTCAAGGATAAACTGTTTTCTTTTTGTCTTTTTATAACTGAAGTCAACTGGCCAATTTCAGCAATGTTTAACAATTAATGAATTCAGCTGAACATGTGCCTGTGTCCACAGAGGCGGGGTGACATTTAGATGGTACTCAGCCACAAAGCCGACAGAAATTTGAATCCCAAACACTCCAGAAATGTGCGAGCATACTCAAAACCTGCAGAAAGCAATTACTCATAATTTTTCAAGTCAAAATAAAAGTCTGACACTGAAAAATGAGAGCGGAGTGAAAGATACTGTTGACACTACGCTGAACAAAAATGGATTCCTCATGTTTTAGAAACACTACATGCTCACTCAAACTTCTCGGCTTGTCATCTCATAACACAGGCAGAATGCTAATCACCACTGAAGGTCAGGCTTCTTGTTTTTAACAGAGCAGCAACACAGGACAGCCTGCTGACAGGAATGTGTGGTGGGACCATTAAAAGCAAATTACAGACAGTGTGGGAATCACAGACGAGCCACTTTAGCTGGAATGAGCTACTGTGCTGCTCATTGCTAATCCATTTAACACAGCACAGGCGTTTTACTCCTTAACACAGAGCTTTCTCTGGAGCTTTACTATTGGCTCTCAGAAGTTGTCATCTGGGAAGGGTCCAACCTCTCAAGTACCAAACAAAGTATGTACTTGTGCCACAAGGCCACAGTGCACTTTTCTATAGCAGACAGTTGATTCAGGTTGAAGAAATTATTTCCACTGAGGAAAGAGTTCATTCATTGTGTGTGATGATTATTTTTAGAGCTATTAAGAGCCATGGCATGACTCTGGCTCTGGGAGATTGACACAGTGCAGGCCACCTCGCAGGTGTGTGTGTGTGTGTGTGTGTGTGTGTGTGTGTGTGTGTGTGTGTGTGTGTGTGAAAAGAAAAGATGGTTTTGAGGGAGGTGATGGAGAGAAGTTAGGTATAGTGCACTTTCAATAACTACAACCAAGCTACAACCTACTAATATTCTGACTTACTGAATTGTTTTTGTTTTTTTTCATGCAAAATAAGAAGAAAAAAAAAGAGGGTGTGGTTTTCCCTTAACTTATTAAAACATGGAGTGAAAAAAAAAAACAGTCTAGTCTGGTAGACACATAAAGTAACCCTTTTGTTAAAGTGCTCTAATTCATCTTAATAGCTATTTACTCCAATGTGTACATCACAAAACATGGACTGGCCAGGTAGCAGAGCCGACAGATTGATATTGCATGAAGCGATCAGTCGAGCTCTTGCCTATCCCAAGTGTGTCGTGCATTTTTATGTAATCATTGTCCAATACTTTTCACAAAAAAAGAACATTTAAGTGCATCCAATTTGCACATTTATGGTGCCGATAAATACGCTAGATAGGTATTTGTCTTCAAGAATAACATGTCATGAAGACAAGGCTAATAGGAGGGTGTTGTTACTTTGCTCAGAACCAGAAAAAAACGGTTTTGCCTTTAATCACGTTGAGGACAACCCAGTGGCCAAACATACACAACCATAGGATTAGTTTTAGTTTTCTGTAAGAAAGGGAAGAAAACATACTTCATAAAATGTCCTACTATTGCTTTAAAGGTGTAATGCTCTCTGATTTTACAATCAAAAGTAAAAATGCCAAGAACAGTTGGTTGGCCTTCTGGTAAAGATGAAAATCTAAATGATTTAAACCAGAACAAACTCTGTAGTGTCTCTGAAAATATAAATTAATGTAGCACCAGCCAGACACTGAGAGTAGAGGCAAATCTCTTACACTTCTCTTACCTATCCCATGCAGGACAGCCACGTTGAAGTCTGGATCACTGTCGAAGGCCTCCAGCTCTTCAAGCAGACGCCTCGCCGTCTCCTGGTTCACTGCATTACGCACCTCTGGGCGGTTTATCCCCACGGCAACCACGCATCCCCTGCGCTCTGTGACCACAGTCTGTCCCGCAACTAATGACAAAGAATGATAAAGATGCACTGAAGAAACCAATATGGACCACAATACAAAGGCAGAGGCCAACTCAGGGACATTAAGGTTAAACTCCACACCAGGAGGACTGGCGATGGAATGTTAATTGTTTTATGTGGAAAGACTGGTGAACAGAATTAGTTAAACAATGAAAGAGCTGGTCAGCGCTGAGGTGAGGGCCCTGGCTCTTGCTTTGTCTTAAGTGTGTGAGTGCAGTGATTTTGGTTTGAGGTTGCAGCAGGCAGCTGACCTGACATTGTTTGGGTCATCCTGAAGAATCCAGCTGTCAACCACAGCCTGAGGCAGCAGCATCCCAGAGAGAAAAGCAGGGGGGAAACCAAGCTACTGGATGCATTTACCTTGCTCTCACCTGCTATTTGAAGGGAAATAGACTGCCTAACAAAGCCAAGTGAAGTGGAGTGAGGCATGGCAGGATGAAAAAGAGCAATTTGTTTCAAGCAGCTCTTTCTACACCTCAAACAAATTATCACACAGCACAGGGTGTTCAAAGGAGTGTAACCTCATTTTAACAACAGGTGACCTTTTTCAGGTCACTCATTTTAACACGTAATTGGAGGAAAACTCAGCAGAGGCTAAAGATAGAGGAAACATGCCTATTAGATTTAACACATACAAAACCTTTGCATTGTGTCTGCTGCCTCCATAGCTAAACTTACTAGGTTACCTTATGAAACTGAACCCTCTTTAATGGTGATTAGTAACACCTGTATCTGTAATACAAACCGGCATGTAGGGTCATTTACACATAAATATAAATGAAGGGTGGCAGTAGCTCAATCTGTAGGGAGTTGGGTTGGGAATCAGAGGGTTGCTGGTTCAAGTCCTGGCACGGTCTGGAAACTGATCCGAGGTGCCACTCCACTTCCTGAGCACTGCTGAGGTGCCCTTGAGCAAGGCACCTAATCCCACCCCACCACCAGCTCAGGAGCGCCCACTGTGGGCAGCCCCCTCTGAAACTCTGAGACCTCTCCACTAATGCATGTGTGTGTATTTTGGCCTATGGTTGTGTAGCATGTTCACTAGACAGAGTGTAACAACGAATTTCCCCTCGCGGGATTAATACATTATTATTATTTTATTACTATTATTATTAATAATTATTATTATATAATAATAATATATTTTTATGATTATTAAATTGTAACCTTCAATTTGTTTTAATATACATTTGGGAAAGTCTTTATCGGCTTATTAGGTATCTTCTCGACCATTAGTGCTCCATGTTTACTGATGTTTATCTTTATATGACAGTGAATACTTTGATAAGTGTGTAAAGCTGATATTATGGCGCCCTCTGCCGCTTCCTATAGTTAATGTTATGCTCCTGCACATTAACTTACCAGCTCCAGTGTTTTCACCTCCCGCTGCAGAGCTGTAGACTTTCACTTGTGAAGAACTGGCCTTTATCGACTGTCCAAATATTTCACTTGTGCAGGTAACCCTCCAAAATGGTGCCAATTTACCGAAATGTTTTAGCAACATTATTATCACCTTCAATGTTACGACTGGCTCAAACTCGTAAAGTAGTCCACAAAGTAATCGTAACCGCGCTTCAATTTTTTTTATTATTAAACTGGCCTCAGAATTGCAAGTTATGAAATATTCAAGCTAACTTCGACACAACTCTGATTAGCTGGTGTTACAATTAAATGCTTCCCCACGGAAACAAAAGAAAAGCATATGGTTCCTGAATACATATTGGTGCATTGCGGTGGTAAAGTCTACCTGAGTACAGCAGATGGCGACATTGAGCCACTCTGCAGGTCAGTCTGATCCCCCTGCAATGCAACGTGTTTCTGTTGACATAAATGATGAAAAACAACTCCACATCAGATTTACAGTTTTTTTAATAAAAGATTTTTCTTTGTTTGTGTTGTTTTTACACATTTTAAGGCATCATGCACAAAAATAAGCCATACTAAAGGCGTTATGCTTAATGTCTACCAAAAATGATATGTTCTAACATTTGAAGATTTTGTTTTTAAAAATAAGTTTGTACAAATATGGCATGTAAGCTGGCATGTCAGTGAATCTCAGAGCAGAACTGCTTTCACTGTTTTGTAAACATGGCTTTGAGCAAAATAGGGCTGAGGAAAAGACAAGAGAAAGGGAAAGCATGCTTCAACGTGGGACTAAGTTTCCCTGAAAAGCATGCATTGCATCTTAAATAATAACTTTAATGCATCATTTTTACTCTCAATAGAGATCTTCTTTTTTAATTGTATCAGTTAAATTTAAGACATTAAAAAGTTTGCTGACAATAATAGACAGACTGACTGACAGACAAGAAGACATGATGTGTCCATAAAATCCCCCAACCCCACACACAGACGTAGCTCAGTTTGGTCATTCAAGAAAAAAAAAAAAAACACTACAAGATTTTCTTTTCTTTTTTTTCTTTTCATTACAGCAAGCACTGTTGTTGTACCTCTGACAAATCATCTGGACAGTATTCAACCTCATAAACTCTTCTTTGAAGTTTTCTTGTTATTTTTATAAATTTGTGACAAACTGGGGCTACACATTGCAGTTAAAAAAAATCTTGTAGTGTCCACCAATGGCAGACATCCAGGAGGTGCCTGTAGCTTTGGCACAGTTGTGTCCAGTTGTGCTCTTCTGTTGTGATTTGTGTGCGTTATACTATATTGAAGACCATGGATAGATATTGTTCATATGAAACCTGGATCCAACCATCTTGGTCCGTGTCGTACCGCCTAAACACATCAGTCAACCTCTGTGGAAAGGAAAGGGAAAAAAGGACATTCGACTGATCAGATGGAATAAAGACAAAATCTTATTTCTTGTTGACACAACAAAGAGGAAATACATTCATGCATTTAAGGTTATTTATCTATTCATTGTTTTAAACATTGTTTATGTTACAACTGTATTGCATCACCTTGTCAAATTCCATGCTTTCACTGCCAAAGCACACAAACACGGCATCACATTGAAGTTCTTACATACTTCACTTTATACTTTTGGAGATGCAGCTATACATTCACAGAGTCATTCTCAATAAAGACCTGCAAAAAGTCTCAAACCAAGTGGAGGTCTAGCTTTAGATTCCTAGAGTCCCTGATCAGCTGCTTAGCTAGTTCATTAGTGAAAGATAAAAGTTGCACTTGGCTGCTTAAAATAAAAACGTATTTGTGTGAAGAACAAACAGAACATAGAGACTAAAGTGGCAATCGCACAGGAGATGATCAATCAAAAGAAAGAAGGCAATTCATTTATTAAGTATGTATTATTAAAACTCCTCTTTGAAAATTGGGAATTCAAGAGTAGCCTTGTTGTGATCAAGTGCTTAACCATACCATATCCTTTATTCATATGTGCATGACATTTATGAAGAGCCTATGGTGCATACATGTGGGGAATAAAACTGGAGAAGTCATACACACATATATATACAGTAGATTCTTATTTGGTGTGAATCGTTCACCTGTAGTACAATACAGCACTGGATGAAGTCATCAAAGGCAACCTGTCCCTTCCTCTGACGATCAAACTTCTCTATCAGTGTGCCGTAGAACTGATCGGATAGACGGTAGCCTGCACACAACAACAAATCAAACATTCTTAAAATACTCAGACACTTGTATATTATTATTATCTCCATTCTGGACACCCACACAGCTTTGTGAAAGGATCCTGACCTGATCGTCCTAAAGTCCCTGCTCTGAGCCCCAGAGGCTCTGACACACTTTGTTGTACAGATCGTGAAGCAGATCTTTGATTTGACAGTAGACAATGTTTCAAGGTCTGATGCTTCTGCAAAGACGCTAACTAATTCTAAAATCAAAATGCCTCAAACAATATCTGCACGGAGAACAGCAGAGATGTTTTCAGTCAATCAGTTTCAAGGTGGGCAACTAAGACAGGTACCACCTTTTCAGTATCTGACCATCTGTTTTCTAAGTTATGGCACGGAATAAAAGAAAAATAGTTTCAAGGAGATGAACATTTCAATGACAAGCTGACTTTTGACTTTTTAGATATAAAGGTCATTATTTCTTCATGTAGCCTATTGTGTGAATTTGTTTCATAACTCGTGTATGAAATAAAGCGCTGTAGTCAAAATTGTGTTTTGTGATGTAATGGCTGCTCAGATAGTCACTGAACTTAAACAAAATGTGTTTAGAAGTGTTGTGAGAGGGACTTTGAGACGATTCAAACACTGATCACAGAAGCACAAAGAGAAACAGAAATCATAACGAGTGAAACACCCCGAGAAGCCTTCACCTTTTCACTTTTGTTAGTAGTAGAGGACAAATGCAAATCACTCACTTTACATGTATACATTTTTGTTTATCAGAATAAAAATAGCAAACAATGAACTTTGTAAATTATTTATTAGATAATTTACTTTTTCACTTTTCTATCAGGTCATGTTAGCTTTGTCACAGTCCTTCAAAATGTTCTTCATGATGAAACATGGTTCTGGATTTGTCCTCTATTATTCACAACATTATAATTGCATGTCCAATATATCTGAACGGATGGATGAGTATGAACATAAACCCCAAACCCAAAGTAAGGATAAGATTCCAGACCACTCCCTTAATCAATGATTTCCACCTGCAGGCGGGTCTATCTACAGAGATGCGGAGAAGGAAAACAAATCTGACCTTTTGACTCAGAGACAGGACATTCTTTCGACCGAAGCCCTCCACCACTTCTATCAAGTTTAGATGTAAAAGCATACTTTGCTGCTCACCGAAACCAGTCAGCGCCTGTCTGAGCTCGTTCTTGTCGATGAAGCCGGAGTTGTCCCTGTCGTAGGTTCTGAAGATGTTCTGCCAGTCTGTGATGTACTTCCACACTCCAGCGAACTCGTTGAAGTTAACCCCGCCTTTGTTTTCCCTGTCAAACATGGCTGAAGGAGAGGAGAGGGGGAGGACATAACAGACATCATTTCCTCTGGTTTTCAAACACTTACACAAACACACAGTCAAAACAGACAGCTCTGGGTATGAAGGACTTGGGCATGAAATTGAACAAATCCAGCAGAATGAATAACACAGTTTGATGTCAACAAAGGGAGAGTTATCACAGGATATGCTTCTTACCGGGGGACTTTTAAACAATGGATTTACTGAGTTTGGTACAGAGGGAAGGAGAGGCGATGGAATTATTGGGGATTTACTGTGCGAGTCACACAACAAAGATTTGACACAGTAAATGTGTAACCCGGGGGAAAAATGTTTAACAGAATTTTGTGTTAACTGGAGGCAACAACACAAGTTTAAAAATAATCAGCCGTTTTATCAGATTTGAAAAACAGAGATACATTTCATAAATCTCAGTACAACATGTGATGCTTTATCTGTGCTGAGCGACAGCCTGACCTGCAGTCAAAGAGCGGCCATCCTTGTCCTTAACCGCATTTCAGAGTTTTTACGTTTTGAACCTCTGCTTCCTTTTCCAGCTGAGCGTGCATATAATCAATATTTAGAGTCTAAGGGAATCAGCGAGAAACGTTCCCATCTCCTCCAGCTGCTTCCTCCTCCTCCTTTGATTGATAGCTGCAGGTTTTCGCTAAAACAGCAGTTACTGAAGCCAAAGATCGTTTAATTCTGCCCTTTGACTGCTCAAAATGTAATCCATTTACCCCATCGTCATGGAGACGAGGGTAAATAAACAACAACATGCATAGTTTTAGAACAACGGAGAATTGTGTCAAAGTGAATCGGTCACTGTCAGTAGATACTCACATATGATAGAGCGTACGGTCACTGGGTTGAAAGGAGTCCATGTGCCTGTGAGAGAGAAGAAAACAAGTTGACATACCGGGCCAGTGAGATATGTGGTATAAATGTAGAAGAAGAACAAACTTAAAGCTTTGTCACATACGTTTTTGACCATTAACATTAGATCATTAAAATTGTATTTTCCCAGAAATATGTAACAAACACAATAACGGAACATAGATAAAGAATACATAAGGAACACAATTATTTTATTCCTATTTACAATCTTCAATGTGGGATACAAGACTTTAATATGTCTTGATAACAAAACACATACTGACACAAACTAACACTTACTGATATATGAATCATCCAACACTGATTATAAGTTTCTTAGAATTTTGCTTTATTGATTTTAGGGACAACTCTTTTTCTTTCAAGGGTAAAAGGATGACAGCATAATAGAAGCATAGGTTGATTTTCAATGGTAAATGGACTTGAGCTTGTATATTTTACGCTGCAGGTCAATCTTACCCATTCTCACACTGATGGCAGAGTTAAAGTGACCATCAGAAGTAACTAATCCCATTCATACATACTCATACGCCGCCAACAAAGCAGTGGGAGCAATCGGGGGTTTAATGTCTTGCTCAAAGACACATCGAACATGCGGCTGAAGGAGCTGGGGATCAAACCTCCGACCTTACGGTTGAGAGTCGAACAACTCTACTAACTGAGCCACAGCCCCTCCACTTTAGTAACAGAACTTTATAATGAAGACCTTTCAAAATGACAGTCGGAAAAAGAAGAGGTGTGAAGACAACAATGAACAAGACCTGAGTTGATTTAGTCTCTTCACTTTCAGGGTCCTGGTATGTTACTCAAATCTCAGCAGATGACTTTAGATAAAGTGTCAGAGAGCAGAATACTAAACATATTAATAGTGTTATACGGTTTATAATAACAGTTTGATCCTCTATAATATAATAGGATCCACCTTGCTTTCCCTCCACAATGACAAATATTTGTCAAAATGACAATAAATCAAAAGGCTTGAAAGCAGGTGAGTTGAACACACTTTTTTTGTCTTTATCATCCATGAAACAAGCTGTTCAAACATAAGTGAAAGTCTTTGTCAGTTTTATGTTCAGGAGAAGACTGATGGGGCTTTAGTTGAGTAGAGTGTTATACTTTACAGCCTTCTTCACACGCTCAACTCTCAAGACACCGAGATTTATCAGGGCCATCTAAATCCTTGCTGACTCACCATCTGACTTTATTACACAGCGGCCACACGGTTCAAGACCAGAAATAAAAAGAGTGTAGGGAGCGGTGGTGACAAGAAGATACAAGACCAAAAAGAACACAACAGCACTATACAAAATGAAGAAAGAGAAAGGTACAACAAGACAAAAGATAATCAGAAGAAAGGCAACGGAAGAGAAGTGACACAAGGTCGATGAGCAGGGCGATCAAATGTTTGAAGTTTAGTTTTTGTTGCAGTAACCTAAGCTTACTACTTTTGCTGACTTGAGATCCCTCTCTGCCCCTCTATCTGCAGTCTCTACAACAAGCATCTGCAGAATTTTAACATCCCCTAGATGAAGCATTGAACCGTTTTCACTCTGTGATGTTTCCTGGCATGTTTGCATTTTCAAATGGAGCACCGCATTTAATAAAACATTGCAAGCAAAACACATAATACAAAAAATATGTTACTGCTGATTTATTTTTGCCTTTAAAAAGATCCTTAAAAAGGCTCCAGATAAAAGAATATGGGGCAAAAAAGTCTTCAAGAGGTTACGATATTTGATTACAAATATGTAGTTTGGGTTTTACTCCAGTGTTCAGAGAAGGCACTCGACATGCTGCAGCTTCTCTTTCTTATTGATGACTGAGGCTGCCTGAGGCCTGTTGGTGGAGCTGTTCTAGGACAGGGTTAGTATTCAGTCACTATCTTAAGGAGGTCTGACCTGAAGCAACAGAAACATTGAAAAAAATGGAGTATGGTACCGCAAACCAAAGGCTGATGTCCGTAGACTGTAAATATTAATGGATGAAGCCTGAGTGTCTTCACCCGTCTGTTCCTGCAGAGGTCTTGAGAAGCCCATCCATGCTGGAAATGCTGTCTCAACCTAACTTTCAGTCAACCTAACGACAGGCTAAGAGCTGAAGCTGAGGCGGGTCGTACACCGCCTTAACATGACCACCTGACAAACAGCTACACTGCGCCCCCACCCGTCAGCGATGCGCCTTGTTGTGAATAATGCTTATCCCTCATAATATCAAAATCTATGAGTGACTTCCGGGGGCTTCTGCAGCAAGTCTCAAGCGGCAACTCAACAAACTGCGGGATAATGCACTTCTGCATTGGCTTCATTTTTCAACACCGGAGATTGCCGCAGCGCTTGGTGATGTCAAAGAGGCAATGTCCAGATTTAAAACATGGTCTATGTTTTGGTTTTTTCAAACTCTTAATGTTGCATGTCCTCTAAATGACGGATTACAAATTCATTACACAAGAATACATTAACAATCAGCCTCATAAATGCAAATGATTTGTCATGAATTGATTGGCCTGAATCTTCCACCATTTACTGCACGTTTGGCTTCAAACTACCACTAACACTTCAAACTACTGTATTGAATAATAATCTGTCCTAATTGTCTACAATAAAATGTTAAATAGCTTTATCTGCAAAATGAACATCCAATCAGACCGACAGAGCAAAAAAAGCGACAATCTTTTCAAAACGTCTGATGAATGCTGCCCCAGCTTTAGAGCGTATAAAGGCAGGCGAAGGAGGACAAGCTGTGACCTCTCCAGCCACACTAATGCACTCCCTCTCTTCACACCAGTAGCGAGCTGTGAGGTCACCAATGAATACCAGACTGACTGTGACTGCCTAGTGTGAGGTGGTCAGTATGGTTGAGATGTTTGTGTGTGTTCTGTGTGTGCGTCTGATGGCCTGCTGGTACAATATACCCTCTGTCCAGTCCACACACTGGGCTCTCTCACTGGGGAGCCCAACCGCCAGGGGTGAGGCGCAGGGAGCGAGAAGTGAGGAGAGAGCCAGGCTGGTGGAAAAACAGAGTGAGCCAACCGCAGTGTATACAAATACATATAACGGCTGTGATGGAGCTCAGTGAGACTCTTGTGTACGCACTACACTAGGCATATGCAAGCAAGCGACACATGGACGAGAACTTTTACAGACAAATTTACTGTCTGACACCCTAAAAGTCGTCTCAGTTGACTAAACCAACATACAGAAGCTAAATGCTGTTTTCCCAAGGTAGTGGTTTAATTTCGTAAAACAAAAAAATCACAAACATCCATCATTCTCAGAAACAGCCTAACCACCCTTAAGTAGGATCTCTTCTTGATTCGCTGAAAACTTATGCAATGCAATATTAAAATACAATAATACTTCATTCCGCAAAATGACACTGTTACTATAGTCAGCGGATCATACTGAGTTCTGCTGCTTTATGCCAGACAATAGTCATGATGTGTGAGACATACACCAGCTGTCAAGGCAGAAGGAATCTCATTAAGTGACAGGAAACATTTCTCTGGCCATATGCTAAAAATGACAATGTGTTAAACAGTCAGTGAATGCATGATGCATCTCCACCAATGGCAAATATAACACAAATGCAGCAGTAGGATTTATCACTGATTACAGGGAAAAGGTTTTTAAAAAAAAAAGCTCAATACTAACAACAGAAATCCATACCTGCTGTTTTGTAACACTACCAGAGTGTAACTGAGTTTAAACAAATGCTTCAATTGTACAAGTGTCAGGATAAGAGTTGTAGAGAGAGCTGTTTGAGTCCTGCCATTCGGTCGACTCTGCAATCTGCAAGCCTGTGCTCTCTCAATCGTATCAGCAATTTCAGTGCCTATTACTGCTCCTACACACTTAAATAAATAAGTCAAGAAGGAGTATAAATCTGTGCGCAGGGGAGTGAGGGAGGATGTTGGTAAGATGTCTTTTCACTGCAGAATGAAAGGGAGGCCAAAAATGCCCATATTTATAGTAAATAGTGCAGCTAGAAGGTGTACACACCATACAGACATGGACATACACTCATGTGGCTCCAAGCCTCTCAGGGAGGTTTTGTTGTCACACCCAAGACAGATTAAGGCATGGAGACAGGGAGGAGAAGAGGGAGGGCGAATAGAGAGAGAAAGAGCAAAAGAAGTGGGACTAGGGAGCATGGGCGAGGGACAAGAGAGGACAAACAGACAGAGGACACAGCAGGCTCTGAGTGTGTGCCATATCCTCCTGAGGAGTGTGGGCGGAGGAAATAAGAGCGAAGAGGAGATAGAAGAGGAAAGAAGAGGGCAGAAGAGGAGAAATGAGAATATGAGAGGAGAAGAGAGGGGAAGAATAAGAAGAGGAAAACGATGCCGCAAAACCAGCCCGCCTTGAAAAGTCATCCAATTTTGTGCAGTTCATGTAATTGAATTCGTTTTCAAAACACAAACCAAACAATCATCTGCCAGTAGGAAGATGCGATGCCACTCCTATAATGCAGTTTGTAGTACTAAATAAGGGACATCACTTCACAGTGAGCATAAAGTGAGCCATCATTTGAAGAAAAAACAAAGCATGCTCTGTTGGCAGGTTTTTCAGCTTTCAAAAGAAAAAGGGAACAAGGGCTGTTTTAAAAAAAAATGTTAAAAAGCAGGTGCTGCAGACAGAGGACTGGAAGAGATAAGGGAAGAAAGAATATGTGGTGCCGACATAACAGAGGATGGAGAAGTGTAAACAGCATGAGCAAAGTCTGAAAAACCTGTTCCCCTCTCCAGCCTCCAGAGCTGTGATACTCTCTAGACACCGCTGCCCTAAGGGAGGAGAGAGAGGAGAAAAAAAACACGAGGTAGGTGATACACAAAGAGGTGAAAGAGGCCAACAGAGCATCAGAGCTGACAAAGCTTGGTTGATGGTTTGAAACTAAATAAATGAAGCATTCGTGTGGTCAGTAGAGCTGCGACGGACACACAGGAGCATGGCTGGTGGCTGTTGCATGCGGGCAGGATGTGCTGCAGTGTGTGTGTGTTGTCGAGCCTCACTGGCTCTGTTTCATTTCACAGTGAGCCCAATGAGCTGGCAGGGAGCGGACCAGGAAAAACCTGCCATTGGCTACAAGCACAAACACAGCAAGATGCAAATCAACACAACACTGACAAAAACAAACACGCACAGTATAAATCAATGTAAACAAAAAAGGCGTCTAACTGACCTGTGGAATTAAGTGAGAGAGAAAAAAGGAGCAATGCTAACACACACTGTAGACAAACACACATTTTCATGCATGCACAAACACACTCTCGCACAGTAATCAGTATGCGGAGCCAGGGCCACTGCGCAGCCTGATAACAGCTTCTTTCACTGCTGCTGCTGGCTTCAACACTTCTTTTTCTTTTTTTTTTTCCATCCCTCTGAAGTGCCCAGAAAAATGGGTTTCTGAGAGTAATCTGTTGAAAAGTCTTTGAAAAACTGCCTAAGCAATTCAGCCATTAACTTGGTGGGTAACACATTATATTTTAATGAGAAGACAAACATCAACCTGTGCTCGAGTTTCTGGGCAACCCGTACTCTGAAATGCACGTCACATTAATCATTACAGGATTTCAACCTTCCTGTCTCACAGGGAGCAAGGTCAAGAGGGATGCTGGTGCAGTGTCGGGTACGGGCTTGGAAACAGATATTCCCCTCAGTATACTCTACAGTTCAAGCAAGTGTAAAACCACCTTCACTTCCCAGGACTTGAGCAGAGAAGATGACCTGTGTTATTTATTCAACAGCGCTTCACATTCCGCCTTGCAGAATCACAAGTGTACTTTGTTTTGTTCAGGAGGCCTGGTGGGAACTGAGCCTTAATCCAGTTACAATCTTCCCTGTCCTCCTGAGCCACACAGAACAAAAAAGTGATTACATGTTCTTTACTGGCAGCCGTGGTGCTCATGTCCTCTCTCTGGATGCTCTCATACTGATTTTTTAGTTATTTCCTCTCAGTCTGTGAACCAAATTAACTCCCGTTCTACAGCACAGAAAATGATCCTTGCTGGAGTTTAATCTCCACATTTTCTGTCTCCTTCTTTACATTTACATAAACACAAAGAAGGGTGGCTATCTTATTAGCTAATTTAATTCTTGCACTCAGACATATCTGCCTTCACTATCCTATGTGAAAATTAAAAATACTATATCAAAATGTATGAAGTTATGGGTTGATGTAGCGACTCCTCTTTGTGTGGCCTGTCTTCAAGGTGTTGTAAATGTGTTCTTATATCCAAATCTTTTTTTTATTTTTCATGCTCAGTTTGGGACAAATTGGTTTCCTGTAAAAAAAAAAACATGATTTGGTCATTTATTCTTCTCATTTTTGCATTACTCTTTCTCTGTCAGTGCCTTTCTCAAGGGCACATCGGCAGTGCCCTGTCAGTGAACTAGCACCTCTCCAGCTACCAGATCAATTTCCAGATTTGGGTCACGGACCAGGACTTGAACTGGCACCCCTCCTGTTCCCAACCCGGCTACTGCCGCCCACATAAGAGAAATGAAATAAAGTGTTGAAAATCTGTTGGTCATACATCTTAACAACAAAAGGAGCAAACACGATTTTCCTTTTAATTGGAAAGATTTTACGACTGGAATTTATCTTGTTTTCCTCCATTTACTTTTATTATGAACTCAAAAGAAGTCTTAAGGAAAAGTTGATCTCTAAGGTCTACCAGTCAGCAAACAACCATTTGTTAGAACTCAGACGCATGTGAGGCGGATGATTCCTCAGTGTTCACTCTGGTATGAGTCACCTCATTTATATTTTCAATTTAAAAAAATGATACAAAGGCATTGTGGCAGTAGAAAAAGTATGCAGTGTTATGTGCAGGGGATTGCTAAACAGATAACAGGCTCCATGAACACTGATAACATAAAGCCTTTATTAGTAACACTAAACAGTGAGCCTTTATCCAACAGTACACAAACAGCTGTTAACACCAACCGACTGACAACTGATCCAGCTATGATCAGCTGCCCCTGTCATCAGAAATGATGTTGCTTCAAGTGACGCTGATAGTAGCACATCATCATCATCATCATCACGAGCCGACAGCGGTCTGCACTAGAGACAGCTTGTAATGGTGTCGACTATTCTTCAATAGAGGAACTGCTTTCAGAAATCAGCCTCTTTAGTATCCTCTCAATTTTCATTCCAGGTCAATGAATTCTCTTTATGGATGACATATTTTGAAACTGTCCACAGACAGACACGCTCATGCTTGAAGCAAACATCATGTCAGGATATCATTTGGTGTGCTGGAATCGGAAGTATAGTTTTATTATTTAATAGTTTATGTGGTAAAAAAACGTCTGTATCCTTCCTTTCTAAAATATCATGGTGGGATCCTTCGATGAGGGCGACTGTGACTCAGTGGAAGAGCAGTCGCTCTAGACCAAAACGTCAGGCCACATGTCCAAGTGTCCTCCTTGTGCAGGACAGTGAACCCCAAATTGCTTCAAAGTGGCAAAAGCAGCGGTTTGTGAATGCATTTAATTGGAATTAGTTCATCCTGATGGACACATAGCAGCCTCTGCCATCAGTATGTGAATGTGGTGTGAATGAGTGAATGTGACATGTAGTGTAAAAGCAGCTTTGAGCAGTCTAAACTCTAAAAAAAAACTAGAAAAGCGCTGTACAAATCCATTTACCATTCTACTAGATCTGTGACACCGTTTCGACTGCAGAGGATACAATTTCACACCCACACACACACACACACACACACACACACACACACACACACACACACACACACACACACACACACACACACACACACACACACACACACACACACACACACACACACACACACACACACACACACACACACACACACACACACACACAGTTTCAACCATCATCTGTGACAGCGTTCAGTGGGCTGTCATCACAAAGACGCCGAGGCTTTTTTGAAGTGTTCTCTTTGAAACTACACTGATAAACTTTTCACCTGCTTCTCTGTTGTCCCGGGACAACAATAATTCTTCTTTACTCAACTCATCTGCCACGCTGGGTTAAAAATAAAATCACAATCCATTTTACGCTTAGGCATGGCAGTCATTTAAATCAAAGAGCGGGAGATAGAGGGAACAAACAGAAAGAGAGGAAGAGGAAATTATAAAAATGTGAAATGTGGAGATGAGAGGGAGAGGAGAGAATGGGACAAATGGTCAGAAACAAGGAGATGTAATAAGAAAGGAAGAAAAGGGGAGTGGCAGAGCAGATACATACCGTTCGATAAGGCCTGCTGAAGCTCTGAGTCTGATATCACTCCACTCCGGTCCTTGTCGACCCTGGGGAAAGAAAACACAGATTAGATTACTGCTTGCATTAACAACTTTACACACCCACACACTCAGACTCACAATGGGAGCCGGCATCAACACTCGCCAGCTGAAACTTGATGCTCCTGAACGCGTGTCAGTTTTTCAACAGTCAATGGAGCATGAATGGAGTCCTGTGATTAGGACACAGGCAGTCTGTATGTTTGCAGATCCCTTGAGACTAGCCAGACAAGTTCTGAGAGTGTGTGTCTGTGTGTGTGTGTGTGTGTGTGTGTGTGTGTGTGTGTGTGTGTGTGTGTGTAAATAAAGACAAAGTAAAACTTCATTTTGGCAACCATACTAACCACTTGTGCTACCGGGATAGTGACATTCTTCCATATTTTTTTGATAAGTGAAACCAAAACCCAAATTACATTTTTAAATATATAGTTCTCAGATTCTAACTCTCACATTTGGGTTCAGGGCAATTATGAGCTTTCATTCCTGTCTGACACTTTATGTACCAAAAAGTCAATCAATGAATAAAGAAAAAAAGTCACTGTCTTATAAATAGTGATGGCAGGTCTGCAAATAACTATTCTGTTGATTAATTTCTCCTCTTTTAGAATTTGCTTAGCCTTGTATGCATTTATCCTTTTTATGTATTTAAGACAGGACAGATGAAGAGAGAGGAGACATGTTGGGAAGGCAAAGTATGGACGACCTGCACAAATTGGTCGCAGGCCAGGGAGTTGAAGTAACGAGCAGCATGTCGAGGACTTAGCCTCTGTACATTGGGAGGCTGATACTGACTGAGCTACACCAGTGCCTCGACTGTAACATGTCAGAAGAAGAGATGTAACGATTCACTCAACTCACGATTCAATTCAAGACACTGGATTCACTATACGCTTCTCTCTTTATGTTACAAAATGAGACTGTAAAGAAATGATGACTGAAAAAGAGGCTGCAAACCCACTCGTCAGTGTGGTTTGGCGTCTTAGTGTGTTTTTCTCACAACAAGGGGAGGTGATTGGAGCTTCTTGTTGTGGTGTCGATTAAATGCTGCATTATATTGGTTGTGCCATTTGTGTAGTTCTCTGTCTTCTTGCACTATTTGCACACAGTTTTTGTCTTGTCTGTTATCTATCCTCTGGTTTAAAAGACGGTGGTGCGCCCTCAATTTCGAGATCTTGCTCTCCAGCTGCTGACGTTCACCATATTATTGCAATTCATTTTTCAGAGTACCGATGTGAATCTTGACACCTCTGAATCGATTTATAGCGATTTTACGATTAATCGCTACATCCTAGTCAGAAGAAAAAAAGAAAATATCATAATAAGATGCTAGATTTTAAGGGAATGTGACCAAATTGCATTTAATGGTTGTTTTTAAATTCACATTCAGTTTACATGGATGCAAACAGAGACATCAGACTACATTCCTTCCGGATAGCCTATAACCAGAGAAGGTTTGGTGTTAGGTCTTAATAAAATGAACAGTGCTCCTGCGGGGTTATTGATCTGATAATCACTTGGCTGCCCCTTCTTTAAGTAAGAGGTTAACTTTGAATGATGTGTCAGTATTTAAAGGTAGATCTTGACGGGAATGTCAATGAGTCAATCTTTCAGCACTTCTGTGTATTCATATGTTAAACATTAAACAACAAAATGTATGTGGATAAGTGTGGTGGGTTGTTTTTAAAAGCCTCTTGGTTTATTTTGTTCCTCTGTTCCTCGGTCAGAGTCAAAGTAGAGCTCAACTCAGAAATACTTTCAGGACATGTCATCATCTCCTGACCAAAATCCAGATGTGTTAGGTCATGGAAAAAACGAACAAGCATGAGGGGAAACCCCGCTCACTAATAAAAAAAAAAAGCATTAATAACAAAACAAATCTTAAGCTGTTAGAGGGTTTGATTGTGAGACAATCTCCCACAAAAGTGTTTTTTTTTTTTAACTCAGCCCTGACATCACCACGAGTCCTTGGCTGAGACATAAAAACATCAACAGGCTGGACTGTGACACAAATTCGAGCAAAAAAACAGCTTACTCAAAACGTCCAGTGACTCAGTTGTTCCTTAGCAACCTACCTGACCCAAATGTCAATACAGATCCATTCAACAAACACACTCTGAATACCAGCAGAGAAAATTACAGGGAGGAGGAGACAGGGAACCCCCCCATGAGAAAAAACAAAAACAAACACAGAGCTGGTCTAGTGCTGATTTTATGGGTCAGGTTTCCACTCCCAGCAGTGACGCTTAATGTGTCTTCATGTCTAGAGCCTATGGGGCTCCTTTCCCGCATGTCATTCACTACACTCTCTCTCTCCCTGATTTCCGACTCTATCCACTTTCCTATCTGTCCATTAAAGGCACAAAAAGGCCAAAAATAAATCAATGTCAGCCTATGTTGCTGATCAGCTTTAAGTCTGTGTGTTCTCCTCCCCCCCCAAATAAAGATAAACTAAACATGTGGAGACTTGCTTTGCCTCCTTGGTAAGAAAAACAACTTTTTCATGCCTGTATAAATGAGAGCTTTGTCAAGGTGAAGCTGGGGGGGGGTACCCTACCTTTACCATACACTGATTAACACAAAGAAGTGTGTGTGTGTGTGTGTGTGTGTGTGTGTGTGTGTGTGTGTGTGTGTGTGTGTGTGTGTGTGTGTGTGTGTGTGTGTGTGTAAAAATAAGCTCTCCTCTTATACCCGCACCTATGTCTTGTCTTGCTGACCATTTACTGACGCATTCCCTCATCCTCAGGTGAGGTAACCTGACTGGACCGTCCACAAACGGACACTGAAGAAGTCACACATCATTAAAACACCTTCTTGGCTGCAGCACAGACAGTTAAACATCTGGCATTTCCATCTTCGCGCACTCCAATATGGAGCCAGACGACATAAAACACTATCGCTTGGTCTGGAATTCTGCTCAGTTTTTCCCATGTTTCAATGTTTCCTATTAAGAAATAAGGTTGGATTATGGCCTGCGGAACAAAGGACGCCCTACTTTCCACATAATCGTTCCAAAAGTAAGGCAATGTAACTGTGGCTCCTGAGAAGAAAACTCAAAAACTTCTAAATTTAGGCTGCACTCACAAAGCCTTCAAAGGAAATTCTGGTGTCCAGCAGTCATTTTCAATTGCTACTTTTTGGTCTATTTCGATACTGTTAACTTTTCTCTTTGACAAATTAAACTAACATTATGGAAATAAAACTTTCGCTTTGTATTATTTTGGGAAACTGGCACCTTTTCCTCAAAAGTCATTTTTTGTTTTCCTACAAGTTTGAATGTGTTGTCTTCATCTGCAGTTTACTTAGCAGTAGCAGTATGGTCAGTGATCATTGTTTTCACATTTACTGAAAAATTAAAACCATTCACACATTCGCAGTCATGGTATTGAATACATCTAAAAAATAAAGCAATAGATCTCATTTGTTGGATGATAGGCTGCAGTCTACCTTCTGAATGAACTGCGTCAAACACGGTGAGAATGAAACACATCATTTGTTCTCCCATGGCATGACTAGTTTCAAAGAGTGAACTAAGATGAACGGATCAGCAAAGACCGTGAGGACGGTGAGTCATATTGTGAAGTGCGCGTGTGTCACAGAGATTAGGAGGCCTCCCGCTTCAAGTATGCTCTACTGACTCTGATCACATGACCAGGGAATTCCAGCACTGCTCTGCCAGATTTCGACCAAAAGGCAGCAGATGTTGCAGCGTAACGCTCATGTGAGGGATGACTGTGCGAGTACACGAGAGTCTTTTAGGTTATATGTAGAATGACCCCATGTGAGGATCACTCCATATTTACATGGTTGTCATGAGCAGCACTGCTTCAGTGAGTGACAGATAAGGAATGTGTGAGTGAGATGAAGAGAAACAAAAGAAGAGAGCAAAAGAGCATGCTGGTAAATGTCTACATGTCTGATTTCTAAGGGGTTTTGCACCACACATAAATAATTTGTAAAGAGTGTTTCAAGCCTCGCTATGCGTGCAGCATCTCAATGTTGTGAGAAAGCAAAGCAGCAGGGAAGAATTCTCTGCAGTATTACATAACTATATAGCATACTAGAACCGGGGGCCAAAGCTTATCAACTTCCCCCCATCCCCCTGTCTTCTTTGGCAACCTTCTTAGCTGCTGACTTTTGACTCAGGCTATGCTGAAACTGATGACTATCACTGGTTGAACGCAGCCACTGATACTGTTAACATCAGCTCAGGAAGAAAAAAAAACATGCATGTCACTGTAATTATGCTGGAGAGAGCTTAATGTCTTTATGTTTGAGTCCCATAAATAGATACACACTGCGTCATATAGACTTACAACTGTCAGATAATATCAGGAGAGCACATCTTGACAGGTTCATTCACTGTTGACACAGACAGCAGTGTGAGTCACTCATTCAGAAAATGACACATTTCTATGTTTACAATAAAAATTCGTCTGTGGGAAAATGTCCCTCTTATTCTAGGAGAGCCCAGAACTAAAAAAGCCTTCAAGGACTCCTGGAGGTCTTTGGACCATAGTTTGTGAACTATTAAGCCATAGAAGACAGTTTCCTGGTTGAGCCACATGCCCTGCTATTTACTGAAGTAGCCTACCAGTCATCATTTAACACCTTTAATAATGCTGTGTGCCAGTGCTGGAGCATAGTAGCTAATTGTATATACAGCATTTTGAACAGCAACGTGTCGAATAGCCTGATAGCTATTGGACGTATAGGCTATTTATGAACACACTCTGCAGTTGTATTTCCAGGAAGCAGCTGAGGGGAAACCTCAGAGCTGCCTGACAGATCACTTACTTCATTGAGGAGCACTGCTTTTCACCGAAAATAGTTTAAAGACACCCAGGAATAAAGACGACCTGTCAATGAAACAGTGTCACCACGGACATAGCCCATCCCTTTTCTTCCTCTCCTTGCTACAAACGACAGCAGTGTTGGCTGCGGAGCGGACACAGGCAGGCAGACACAACCCGTCTTTTCACCCACTCACCTCTGAAAGATATTCCACAGAAAGCTCTGGTCCGGGGGGGCGTTGATGTGCGGCGGAGCTTTGTACGGACTGTGATACGCCATTTTAAAGGGAATGTGCTGTCAAAATTGTGCTCGTAAGCCCGACAGACCGACTTCTTTCTGCTGTAGTTTCTCCTCTGAGCAGCTTCAATCAGACTCCACCACCCAACCTTCACGTTGCTGCTTGCCTCCTCACGCACAGAGGCGTGGCCAATCATTCACCACTTCCCATAAGCAGGATGACGTCACGTTTTCCTCATATTTTCCTACCGCGGAAATATTAATGAAGGCTCCTGGAACTCAAACCATCTTAACCCTGTACTAGAAAATAAAATAAACTTTTAAATTATGAACCAAAAAACATATATATGTAAAAGTTTAAAGACACATATTCAAACTTAAATGTGTTGTAAAATTGTAGATTTTCAAATTTAGTGATGCTGATTTATGGTGATGGCAGAAGCAGCTTTAACCATTTACTCCACTACAACTACAATAATCTCTACTATGTCTTAGCGACACACTTTACTTTTAGTATCCAAAGAAAAATTGTTAAATAAGCAAAGCAACCCCTGTATATGTTCATTAAATGGTTTCATAATTTATTTATTTTTTATAGGCTACATATTTTTTGCATCATTGAAATGTAATTACTGAGACAATTTCAAACACTTTCATATTGCTAGGTGATTTCATGTAGGCCTTACACAGTACACAGTATAAAACTGAATTTCCCCTCGCGGGATTAATAAAGGATAAATTATTATTATTTATTACTCAGTAAAATAAATATCAATGAATAATCAAGGTAAGAAAGATAAATAGAAAACTAAATAATCAATAAATAATAAAGGGAATCTAAAGAACACTAAAATCAAACAGGTTGACAAGAGTATTTGTTGTATTTCCACTAAATATACTTACCACTACTGTAATAATATGTTTACTTATGGACATAAGTGTAAAAAAAATAAAAATATTTATTCTAGTCTTTGTTCCTTTATTAGTGATTACAAGTCTATCTACCGTGTAGACATCCTATGACTGGTGACAATTTGATTGTTGCAGTCTGAAAAGGGAGTTTTTCCTTGGAAGATTTTTACCATTATACAGTCTATGATTTTGTCAGAGTGGAAGATATTTACGGACTATGGGAAGAACCAGAGAAGAACTCACTTGCAGATATCTTCAATGGTCATTCTGGGATAGGAAAAATTAGTTGTAGATATCTGACATTGAAAGCCTCATACACATGAATAACAATGTGTTATTAGTGAGAATACAGTTTTCATATGAGTTGTTGATGTCTAATCTCTAATAGATAAAGCGGATTGCCATAAAACACAAGTGTTCCTTTTTATCTATTTTACATGAAGGCATCACGAGTGTGTACGTTTAATTTATTGAAAGTCGCAACCGGATTGGCCAAGCGTAACTAGACGCGGGAAAACCGCGGTGGGTATTTTACTCATGATTTTATCATTCAAGACAAAACCCTGAACCTTTATCTTTTTCCACAGAGCACTTGCTATAGAAAGACAGTGTAGAAAAAACAACATGTTTTATTACCTAAATGTCCTTAAGCGCAACACTGGATGTTTTTCCACAGTTTGGTAAGTTTTTAGATAAGATAATTTAGGTAAATATTTTGTCATGGCAAAGGTAGCTAGCCTTTTGTTAACTAAGAACAAAACAGCAGGACCTTTAAACATAAATAACTGATTAGCCTGTGTCAGATTAATGTTGTTTTTGAATGTTGTGTTTGTTTATTCAGGTTAGCTGCTACAAGAGGTATCAGGGTGAGTCGGAGAGAGCTGCTCAGAGTCAATGTCAGGAGAACATGGTAAGAAGTCAATCAGGTTATTTTATCAAAGCAAGCTAGGACAGATAAAGGATGTATTTAACTGTCCGGCTTGTATTGATTTATTGATAGGTATCTGATATTTTTTAACATTATCTTAGTTAATATATTGTGATTTCACTGTGCTTGATAGTTAACATGAGATTAAGGCTGCTCGCTTTCAAGTAAATAGTAGTCTAGTTTGGTGTAAAGGTATTCAAAGCTGCTTTAAATTATAAAAGACATTAAAGATTGGTCAGATCTCTCTTTGTACTGATCTGATGTACCATCAATCGTCAAATAAAAGCACATCTAACTTTCAGGCCCAGTCCCTTGTTCTAGTTTTGACAAATAAAGGCAGCTCTCCATTAGAGATCCCTGTGATTTTCGTGTTGAAAGAGTTTTTGGATCAATATAAGGACAAAAAGCAGCAAGACACACAAAATAAAGATGAACTACGTCTGTCCAAGAAAGACAGAGTTATGTTTGTATGCGTACAGGACATGAAGGAGGTGCACATGCTGTTTCACAAAAAGAGATCAATTTAGTGATTTATTGAATTGTTTATTGATATCCTAAGTGTGTACTCTGTTTAATATTCTGTCTTGTGTAAATGTACAATTTAGCAGTCTTTCCCAGCTTTGCTTAGTTTGCACAAGTTTTGTTTAAAAAATAATTGAAAGCCCGTTTCATATTGAAGCCTGTCCCAAATAAATGCAGGGTCATTTCATAGACTGAAGTAAATCAAAGCCTGGGCTATTAATAGTTTTACGGTAGTATAAATAGTACATGCAGCTGTATTATGTAGTGCTGTATACCTTCTGAAAATGTGGCACTATTTTATTATATAATACCAGTTTATAATTTGTTTTTTTTACAGTGGGGACATTTTGGACTATGTGACAGCCCAGGTGCCCGCACCTCAACCCAACCTGCCGAGGCCTCGGTTCTCTCTCTACCTGTCGTCTCAGCTGCAGTATGGAGTGGTTGTTGTGTACCACAGGCAGTGTGGCTTCCTGCTCGGTAAGGGGAAATTACATGACAATGAACTAGAATAGAGCAGAACAAGCAAGAGTAGAAAGCCCAGAAGTCATAACTGTCCTCAGAGCTACATTTTCTATACACAGTACACTGTAACCGTTTGCTGGATGAGCAAGAAGAAAGGGGGGATAAACGAAAGGGTAGTAGACCAAAAAAGGACTTTAATGCTTTATACAGTATAAAAACCACAAACTGTTCATGTGTTAACAGTGGTGGCAGACAAATCTAATCGCATACTGGACATCAGGTGTAGGCATGAGTATGTTAGTTTTGAACAAGGGAAGATTTAAAAAACGTAATTATCAAGGATAAGCAGAAAATGCAGTCAGTAAGAAGGATGATGTTCAGCTAAACAATTACCATTATTTTCTGTTGGGTTACTTTCCAGGGTAAACTAAGGTGAAATGTGAAAATGCTGTTAGTTCAAATTATGCAAAACACAGTGTCAGAAATGCTGTTTCAGTGTTAAACCAAAACAGTGCTATCTCTGCACAATGCATGCTTCCCAAATCAGCCTGACGAAGCTGATTTAAACGCATAGATAGAGCAGATGAATGTAATAGCAGCAAACCAAGCTCAAAATTCTCTATTCATCTTGGCATAAATGACACCCTGAAACTAATATTGCATCTGACAGATTCACAATCATGCTGTTGTCATGGCTGATGAAATCTGTGAGAAACACTGCAGGATGATAAGCAGGAGGAAAGTCCAAAAAAGCAACCACTGTCTGTTGACTACTGTGGTTTTTGAATTCAGCAATGTATTTCATTTAATATCTCAGTGCAATAAAATTGAACCTCAATACGATCGAGAGTGTTAAACAGGACAAGTGGGAATGTGTCCTCTCTGTTTTATTATATGTTCTTAAAAAAACGTGATAAAACATTTATTTGGTCATCCTGGCTGGGACAGTTGAATAGATTATCTGAAAACCATGACTAAAACAATACATGAATGAAAGTCATTATGCAGAAAATATATCAAACCAAAAACAATTAAATTAATAGGATACCTTGTTTATAGCCATCTTCTCTAGTCTTAAAAGGAGGCATTGTGGTCATATAGTCTCCTTTGATCAATGCCAGATGTTTTAGTCCTTGACCTATAAGTGACATATGTGCTTCTGTGTCTGAGGGAACTGCACATCCAAGAGTTGTGTTTGAAAATGTCAACTCTTGCTCTGTTTCCAGAGGAGGCTCAGCAGACCATGGACCGCCTGCTGCGCTCTAAAAGATGCATACCTATTGACCTGGCTGAGTCTGACAGGTGTGCACACAACGACACACACATCCATTTGATCTGGCACAGTGCATGCCCAGTGTGTTTTTCTTTTCTTATCCTGGAGCTCCTATGATTTGAAGCAGCGCCCTGCAGAGGTTTTATGCGTCTGGGGGAAGTCAGAGCTCAAAACATCTGGTGGAATATTTATGAGGGAGATTATTTTTGGTAATTAAGACTGTACAAGGAGGCAGAAGTGTGGTATTGTGTGAATGATGGACAAATTAAGATGCTTCCATTAAAAGGCATTATAAATGTTAATAGGCTGTGTTATGGTACAGCAGTGATGTATGGGTATGTATTCATGCATTTCATCTTATCTTTATGCATACTACAGATCGTACACACAGATCTTATTTTAGTAACACTTTATCTTTTTTTGAACTATGAAACCAACTTCAAGGATAAATGTATGCAAACTGTAGCTAGCTAATACAGCATTGCACATGTGAGGGATGTTTGGATATTGTGGATAGAAAAATGATTGGAGTGTTTATCCTGCAGGCTGGCCTTGGATGTACCTGACAACCTGTACATGTTGGTGGAGGCAGAGGGGGCTCAGGACCCTTTCTTTGGACTCATGAAATTGAAACAGCTGCCCAGCCCGTACAACATACACCTGGTAAGTAGGCCATATGATGACGTGGTGTGTGTGTGTGTGTGTGTTGGTGGGAGTTGAAACTTTCCACTTTATCTACAAAGGCAGTGTAACCTATCGTCTCCTTGTGGAGTGTCGAATAACTGTTTATCTGTTCAAAGCAGGAGTAATAGATGTGCTTGTTTGAAATAGATGTCACCACTGTTCTGTCAAACACAACTTACATTTGAGTTGTTTAGGACTTTTAAAAGTAGGTAAAATAATTGACTAAAGACATACTATCAGATGTTACTCTGGATTATGTATACAATACAGATATTCTGTACCCATAATATGACACATTGTTCCCTTTAGACATATGTTCAGAGATGTTTGTCCACCTCTGTAGTACAGACTCTTACATCAGACAACTTTCTTTCAGTAAAGCTTTAACTCTGGGTGTTTTATTAGAAGTTAATTAGTAAGTAATAAGGATTGGGATTACATGTACCGGTAAGTAGTTTCATCTGACCACATTTAGTGCAAAAGTTCTGCTGCTACAATGGACTGAGTGTTTTCTAATCGCAGATCAAATACAGAAAAAACACACACATCCTGTACTTGCCACACCTGTTTAAAGGATGTATGTACATACATGTATGTTTATACTACACAGACCCTTCAGAAGGCTGACATGATACAATATGATGCTTTACTGAAGTTACTGTGTTGTAATGTTTTATTATTCAACGTATAATACCTCAGCCTTTTATTCTAACAGACAGTTCACTGTTTAACTAACTAATTCCCCAGGTGAGTGTTTGTCCTATGGCGTTACACCTGTAATGTAGGACACTCCCATTCCAGCATAGCATACATGCAGTATCTCTGGATACTACCCACTGGTACTCTGAGATAGAATAATCCCAGTAGATAACTGTTACTCACTGTGTGTGCTCTAAAACCGTCTGACAGCTGACCTTTGTCCTTCTTGTCATCGTTCCCTGTGTAAATACCATGTCTGTCAAACACCAACATCTCAGATCTTATTCTTAACCCAACGTGACCAAAAGTATTTGGATGCTGAATTGCACAACTTGCAAAAAAAGAAAGAAAACTACCCAAAATGAAGTGTCAAATTAAATCATCAACAGCACCACCAAGTGAGACTAAACTATACAGGGGCAGTAACCTGGAAATCACTCTAGTAGGGGCGCCAGTGGCCTAGTGGTTAGTTTGTGCCCCCCATGTATGAAGGCTGTGGTCTCAGAAGCGGGTGACCTGGGTTTGATTCCAACCTCTCCTTTCATTCCCCACTATCCTCTGTCTTCTCTCGCCAATAAAGACATACAAAAGCCCCAGAATAAATCTTTAGTGGGTCCTGTGATGTAATTGAAAGGATCCCTATACTGTTTTTTTTCTTTCAGGGTCCAAATGAGAAATTGCTGTATACTTTGATCTAATTGTGTATTTGAATATTTTACACACTCATCTGAAATGCTATGTCGCACATAAGAGAATGGAAATACAGCAGAGAAGCAAATGAGCTTCATCATTTGAGATGAGGTTTCTTTGCTGCCTTAGCGAGGCAAAATAAGAAAGTTGGACGTATAACTTCTGCATTAGTTTGGTTTTTCACAAACCTTACCTCGTTGTGATCGAGTTCTGGCTTTCATATGGTTGTTTTCATCTGGCTTGGTTCTCATGTATTGTCCTAAAAAAAAAATAAGAAAAACATATCTTTTGAGTATTCTTTTTTCGTCATGTAATATTTTATAATGTGTGTTTGGAGCCATTGTTGGTGAATGAAGAGGCAGGGTCACAGCACTCCCTGGTGCCCAGTCCCCACAGCACAGCTGACAAAGACGGTGAGACCTGTATTTTAATGTTTGAAAGAAACGCTGTGTCCTAATTCAATGATGGCTGCTGTTTAAGTCCTCATTTCAGCATTAGACAGGTCCTAAACGTTTAATAATGTGCCCCTTTTCAAAGGCTCCAGGAGACTTTTCTGTCTCTGATCATCAAATCTGTTTCCCACTGCTCGCATGTTTACTTGAAACTCAAAGCTGTATCAGAAATCAAATCCTTTAGAGGTTTTGCAGGTTCATCCTAATAGCCCGACCTGAAATGGGACACAGCTTTTTGTATAACACGGTTCATAATCATATGTGTTACTCTTTCAACTGGTTTGTGACAGCGGTGATTATGCACTTTTTGTAAAGGTTTCTGGTATCATTTTGTGTGACGACAAAAATGTTCAGAAATCACCACGACATTCAGGATAATCTGTGTGAGGCCCCGTGTCCACCTGGTGTTTTTTTCCAGACAGAAAAGTGCGCTCAGCAGCGCTTACATGGAGCACCCTTCTGTTTCTATGACAACAGTCTGTCGACAAAGGCACAGACACTGCTCTGTTAATTTTTACTGTATGTTTTAAAGTTGACATTGTTTAATTTCCGATCAGACACTGAACAAAGAGGATGTGGGTACAAGACAAGATCGGCAAAAAATCGGGGAAAATCATTTATCTTGAAAAGAGTGCCAGCAACGTCAACATCTGCTTTCTGAAAAGTTGAATGTATTTTAACTTGAGCGCTCGGAGCAGCCACACAAAAAAAGCATTGCGCTCAAAAAAAGACGCTGAACGCTGTGCTTTTTCTCCGGACGGCTGCCTGCTAATGCAAATGCTCTCTACTCATTGAAAACAATTGAAAACGCTAGCTGTTAACTGGGCCTATAGAAGCTTTAAAATGTTTAAATGAATTCGATAAATCGTACATTTTCTTAAACTTTTGGTGCAGGAGGTTGCTATTACTCCTGTAAGGAAAATGATGAATACATGCTCAGTGAATGTATTTACATTTTATCTACACATATTGAATTAGAAATAAATCTGTTTTTCTTTGTAATGGTTCCCCCTGTGCTGCAAACATGTTTGTCTTCTAATTCACCCTGCTGTGTCAAACCAGGTTTCAGGTCACCTCCAGCTGCCATCACACTGAAGGAGAAGGAGCAGTTGCATATCCCCACTGCTGAGGTAAACGCTCTGCCACTGTGAAGGGACAGAAAAACATCTTTGTCATCATTTTTAGACACAACAGCCATCCTAGTGATTCATTGGACTGGGATGTGAAACGTGCCAACAACAGCTTTATTCAAGACCACTCCAAGGTGGTCTTCTCTCAGACTTTACAGCATGCCATGAGACAAAACATTTTTAAATCCATACATGTTCTAAACGCTGTGTATAATGCAGTGGATTTAATAGTATAGGAAAGAGTGGACGTAAAATACCTGATGCCTAACAGACTGTCCTGATTTCACCCCTCAAATCTAATTTATGTGACGGTCATAAAGAGCAGCTGCGTTTTACTACAGTCTGTCTGAGTCCCACAATCCTCCACTCACTATTAGGCTCTTCATAATGTCACTTAGGGACTGATAATGCTCTTCTTAAAGCATAATGGGCTGATGAAGACCATTTTGGTGTAATAGGATGTGACTTAATTACATCAGCTCAGTTTGTTTACTGAGATATGTGGCTCACATAGATACTCTGTGTCCTCCGCCCCTGCTTGCCTGCCCCTTCGGCTGATTTTTGCTTTGCATGCAAAATGTTGTAATTTCTTTGTTATCATCCTGTTCTTTGTACACCAAACAGACAAAGTCATGCTTCTGGTTCCTCTTCTCTTGACCAAAAACCTTGTGTCCTCTTCTAAATCTCTCTCTCTCTCTCTCTCTCTCTCTCTCTCTCTCTCTCTCTCTCTCTCTCTCTCTCTCTCAGTATTTTATGGGTGATGACCTTCCAGAAGCAACAGCTAGAGAGATCGACTTATTATTGGATCAACCGGACCAGTTCCGGGGAGGTGGGTGCATGCATGTAACTGTCTTTGTATTAAAGTTGGGAAGTCTGAAATCAAGCTGGTTGCTAAACAATACTTCAGGTTCTGTGAAGTGCCAACTTTATTAGTCCCACAGTGTGAGCTTTCTGTAATGTGTTTGCACCAGTGAACCACATCACATTCTTTGTGCAGCCACTATAATAAACAAATAAAATCTGACTAAGTGTGGGCCTTTGCTACAGGAGAGAAACATGTATTTTCTGTAGACAAGTTACTAGTACATCTCTTAAGTTTTAGAAAAACATAATTTGCTCATACAAATAGAAAGAATAAATGACGGCTGTTCTTAATTTAAGTTAGAAGCCCATTTCACAAATCCACTGCTGACATTTCTAGAAAATGTCTGGACAGCTGGCCCCTGACCCTTTCACACTTATCCTACACAGCTCCAGATTTCCCCTGTTGGTTGGGGGGGGGATGGCACGCCAGAGTCAGAAACCTGGGAGAGAGAAAGAGTGGGGAACAACATGGAAAATTAGCCAGAGGCCGGACCCAAACCTGCACCCCGCCTGCAGCTCCTTTCTTTAAATTTCTTGATTAAGTCATACATGAAGCTCACCTGGACATTTTCTGGATATTTTTAGGAGTGTAGTTCATGTGTGAAAGGGCAAGAGAGTATAAATGGGTTTATTATGAAATCTGTACAAACAAAAATAAATGTTTCCTTTAAAGATGGAAGTTGTTTGAGTTTGTTTAAGGTTTTGTTTTTCTCTTTGAAGTAAATTGTTGTTGGAAAGATGGGTTAACTGAAACGTCTCTTTCACATGATGTCTCTGATATCATTTACCTGTGTGTGAACAGAAGTGGATGGGCAGTATACAGAGGAGAGGGTCAGGGATCTTGAAGGAGCCATGACATCTATCGATCAGTAAGTCTTGTGAAGAAAACTTTCAAAAATTGACTTTCAGGCCTTTCCATTACCTCTACTCCTCAGAGAGTGCCTTCAGGGAAACATGAAAAGTCATTGTTACATTACTAGTCTTTCTTTGTTTGTTTTTGGATGTTAACAAACAGGATAGTTTGACGTAGACACTTAGAATACCAAATAGTTTGTATAACACAGCTCATACCTGTAAAGACAAACTGCAGTAAGCGTGTGTGTGTGTGTGTGTGTGTGTGTGTGTTGTTTGCAGACTGAAGGAGACCATGTTGGGAGCAAAGCGGGACAGTATGTGGCTGCGAGACGAAGAGACAGGTCAGCCTGTGAAGGTTCCTCTGGCAGGTGTTGCCCTAGAGATGACCCCACCACATGTTGCTATGCCTACCCCACCATCTAGGGCGTCTGGGTTTAAAGGTGACGGAGCAACAGATAGTCCCAATGGAGAGGTGAGACATAGGTGATGCTGTCTATTCACCTGTTGTTTGAGTTATGTCATGTAGACAACACTAAACAATGACAAAGCAGTTTCCAATGTGACGCTCGTCATTAACTTTAATCTACATTCCACAAAGTGACTCATGAGCAGCTTGTTTCATTTTAGAAACCAGTGATGGAAAACAAACAAGGGTGTGTCTCCACATTGATGCATACTTTCCAGTTTGATGCTCAGAAGGGACTTCCTTAAATACATTCAAATATTAAAGCTGTGTGTTTCTCTGCGATCAGGTTGTTCCTCCTCTGAGGAAGCGAGGGGGAGGTCGCAGGCGCCAGCTGGTCTTCGCTGACTCTGAGGTCCAGATATCTGACCACGCTATAAAGGAACAGATTGAAAATCCACAAGCTGAAACTCTGGACCTGGTACTAAATCTCACTGATGCTGTTTTTCTTAATCACATGTACAGTATATGTTTAAATACATCCACTCACTTAAAACACAATATTTACATTATAACAATCATCTCCCTCAACCAGGAATCATGACTGGAACACACAAACAAGATACACACAAGGCTGTATATACTGTGTGCACACACGTTCATTCACTCTTTCAGCCACTGATCAATTAAATTTTCAGTTGTTGGCATTCAGTAGTCAACGTTTTTCCATCAAAGTGTTGATCCACCAGGATGTCAGTTAATTACACTCCAGCTCTCTCGCCTTCCTTCAGCTCTCTAAGCCCACTGGGGGAAGTGCTCATTGATTTTATTTCCTTGCCTCTTTTTATCCTTCTACACTCCTTTTCTACCCCTCCTCTCTCCCTCTGCTGTGAACTGAAAAAAACAAACATTCTATTGACACTCTATCATCAAACTAATATTCTGTCCCTCCGGTCAGTCCGAGGTTTTGCTAAACCTCCCCACCTTGACCAAGCGTGCTGCTCCTGCTCAGCTCTTCACCGCCCCCTGTGGATGTAAGTACCACACTAAAGTATTATTATAACATTTTCTGAAATACTGAGAAAACCCATTAGAACATGAAATTTTGCACATTTTTGTACCTCAAAAGGATACAAAAGAGCTGCAATCTCTTGGTTGTAGAACAACATAGATAAATAGTCCTTTGGGGGGGGGATTTGTGGGTTTTTTGTTTTTTTTAATGCAAGGTAAATAAATCATTTGAGGTAACTGATAACCCTTCTCTACAATCAGTCAGTGAGAAGTTATTGCGCTGTAGGTCACATACCTCATACAGAAAATGAACCTTCAACCTCTTTGACTTTGAGGCCGTGCAGTGTAAGACTTGCATTAACGTCCAGCGTGGTTTTTAATAAGCAACACATTTACCAGCCCTCTGACACATTTTATCAGTATTGATCACAACACTTTCCAGCTGTACTTTGAGATGCCCTCCACTTCACATGTGCTGAGGAATATACAAAATACTGACTGAAGACTTTCCTGTGACCCCTTCTTAGCCCTCCTCCACAGTGACCTCCAGTCTCTATGGAAACAGTGTGCCTCGCTCACCAGCCTGCCTGCATATGGGGGAAACGAGAGAGGGGGAAATGAAGGAGAAGAGGAGGGGAGAGAGGAGTCAGAGCAGGACAGAGAAATACTGAGGACAGAGAGGAAGAGGAGGCACTCAAGCATGAGAGAGGTGGTGGGTGTGGAAGGACATTTTAATATGAAGGCCGGTCTTTGATGTTTCCTTTTTTTATTAAGAAAATGAAAAAATATTCTAACCAACCAGGATTCAAGTTTCTTGCCATGCCAAATTCTGCAAGGCTATTTGTGAAACCATAGGTCAAATAGGCAGCTGGCCTGCAGTTGTATTCTGCCAACTGTGTTCAGTTCAGTGGTGAGACAAATTAGATTATAAACCTTGTTTCTGTTTCATGAATCTGTGTCTCTCTCTCTCTCTCACTCTCTCGCTCTCTCTCTTTCTCTCTCTCTCTCGCTCTCTCTCTTTCTCTCTCTCTCAGATATCGAGTGAGTCAGGACTGCAACCCGCTGACGGCTCATGTGAGAATTCTTTCTGTTTTCTCACACATTAGTTTTTCAGATGATGTTTTGGCAGCACAAACATCATTTACAGCCTTATAATGTGTGTGTTTGTGCTTATCAACAGCTGTATTAGATGCGATCCTGGACATGTCAAAAGAGGACAAATCTGTGTGCGATGTGATCACTCCTGTCAGCAGATTGTAAGTCTCAGATGTGCTGACAGACACAAAGCTAGGAAAATAAAGAAATAGATCACTCTGGGGTTTTAATGTGTGTGCGTGTGTGTGTGTGTGTGTGTGTGTGTGTGTGTGTGTGTGTGTGTGTGTGTGTGTGTGTGTGTGTGTGTGTGTGTGTGTGTGTGTGTGTGTGTGTGTGTGTGTGCGCGCATGTGGGTAGGTCCCCGCAAGAGGAGGCCCGCCTTCAAATGGAGCCAATAGTGGAGGAGAACATCGAGATGCCTGAGGCTCAGAATGATGCAGAGAGCAGGGACATGCTGAGGTATTTCATTCAGTTCACACAGCACAGACACACACACTCAGAACACAGACACACTTCAAATCACACACACATCTGCTTTGAAATTCAAAATAAAGAGTAACCATTCAAGAGAGGAATCTGAGTCTAACATATAAGCCTGTTTACCTTCTTTACCAGGGTGGACATCAAATCTGGTGTATTTAAGTATCAGACATTATTGGTAATTGAGTGTCAGTTGATAAGATATAAAGCTGCTTGTTTGATAGCCTAACATATATTTTATGATACATTTTGTATAAATGAGCATTGTTTCATTGGCTGTAGATGGAAAGCCTTTAAATACTTCACTCTGTCCCTTCATCCACCCCGCAGCATCTGTAAGATTAAAAAAAATTGTCAGAAGATGTCCCGACAGTCACGTGTTCCTGTTTCTAATCAAAACAAACCTTTTGGAGCTCATTTCTAAAGATGTCCATACCAGTCTTCAGGGTTGAATCGTTAAATGTAATTTGATTACAATGCATTGTTTTTCTTAGCTGGATCTCCAGCAGTCTGCAGAGGTTTGGAGAAGTCACCTTTGATTCTCTGGTGCCCCCGGAGGTGGATCGCACCACTGCAGCTCACTCACTCTACAAACTGCTGGGTAAGGACATTATAAGTTGCTACTTATTAGACGATGGTGATGCTTCTGTTTATTATTGATGAGCTGCTCGGAAGCTACTATAATGCTGCAGTGTGTGTTACAATAACTGACACAAACTGAGATCATTTAGTTTCCAAATAAATCTCAATGAGGATAGAGAAATGAAGCTTTATTTTATGCATTGGAGAATATTTGATAATTTACAGGTGCACTTTGAAAACACATCATACACCAGTCGTCTGATCTGTCGGATTCTTTAATGAACTCAAAATTAAGATTGAATGAAACACTTGAATGATGTTGTGTTTGTCTTCTTCAGAGCTTCTCTCAGCTCGACATGTGACTGTACGACAGAATGAACCCTACAGTGTCATCACCATCAACTCTGCAGCGTTCAGGATGACCGCCTGAACACACACACACACACACACACACACACACACACACACACACAGGGTTACTCACTTTAGTTCTGTAGAGTTCCAGTTCACATCTTTGTAATGATTACTGCAGTAGATGTTTGTCTTCTTCAGAGCTTCTCTCAGCTCGACATGTGACTGTACGACAGAATGAACCCTACAGTGTCATCACCATCAACTCTGCAGCGTTCAGGATGACCGCCTGAACACACACACACACACACACACACACACACCACACACACACACAGGGTTACTCACTTTAGTTCTGTAGAGTTCCAGTTCACATCTTTGTAATGATTACTGCAGTAGATGTACTAATAGATCCTCTCTCAGTAACATGACATCATCAGATCTTTACAATTGTATCAACATTTAGATATGTTTTATGAGTGGTGGTTATAGAAAGGTTAAACAGCTCAGAAGAGTAATATATTGAACAGCATTCAGTAGCTTTTTAACATTGTTTTTAAAGAATATTTCAAAGATTTTTAACATTTTTTATCTGGTTTTAACTTGTTTGTGCGTTTGTATTCATAAGTATTTATATCAACTGAGTTTCAGTGGTTTCCTGTTTAATATGAACTGTTATCAAAGACTCAAACATGACTGAGCTTTTACCCTCTAAAGATCTTAAATGAAGCTTTTTATACAGTTTGTGATGTTTGTGACTTTTTACTTCTATCCCTTTGATATCATATTATAACTGAAACTCTAATAAATGTTTCTTGATAAGTTTGACTATTATGTGGATTGATTTGTCAAATAGTCTCATCTTCAGGCTTGATGAACTTTGTGTTCCTTCAGGTATTTTCAGATTGGTACAGAGCCCCTGAAGTCCCAAAAAGTAAAAATAAAAATCTTGTGCACAAGTTAGATAATAACTTATAGGAACAAGATAATTATATCGCACACACAAGATATTATGTTGTGCGTCCAAGTTAATATCCTGTGCTTGCACGATTTCTTATTTACTTTCAAATTCAGGCGCCTGTCATTTTCTCTAGCATACTATTTTCTATTAATTGTTTAGGATCAACTGTGAGTAAACATATTTTAACATTAGTTTAGGTCTTACCTGTCTGAAACATCACTATCACTATTGTCACTATCCTGAGAGAGCTTGTATTTTTTCTACTTACAGGTAGTTTGGGATTAATATCAGACAAATGAACATAAAGCTCAATTTGTGTTGTTCAAGATAAAAATTAAAAAAACATTCAAAAAATAAGTCTATTAGTCTAAAAATCCCACTTTTTATTTCATCAATCAGTTTTAAGCTGATGGTACAGAAAAGAATAGTTGGATTACATTGTGCCTCGCTGGCAGAAAACTCCTGTCTGACCTCATGCCTCAATAACGCCACAAAGCGTCAGCATTAAATACACAGAGGAATGCTGTGTGTGTGTGTGTGTGTGTGTGGTGTGTGTGTGTGTGTGTGTGTGTGGGGGGGGGTGCCCATATCCATGTGGCACCTGTTTGTGACTGAGAGGCCAGAGCAGAGGTCAGTGATACAGTCACTGAACAGAAATTAGAATTTACATCATCATAGTAGAATGTATATTTTGTTGATTCTACTTGTGATACAGTCAAGGGGTGCTGCGATGCCAGGAGACGTCTTCTCCACTGACACGCCATGTTTTCCTACAGAAATAAAGCATTTAGGTTATAGCTGATCCTTGCTTTTAATTAGCATTTATAGCTAACCGACAATGGTTGACTGTGTTCCCTTGCTAGTACAAATACAAACCCTCAAGGATTACAGGGCTTAATGTCCTGCACAAAAGCAGCTCGATGGTTATAGTGGCCATCTTTCTTAGTCACTACTTCCACTACTGCTGCATTAATGGCACTGTGGGACAAAATGACTTCAGTTTGTTTACAGACACACAGTGACGTACTTGTGAAAGCTTGAGAGGCAGCAGTAACAAACCATGACCCAAGCATTGACATATCATCACCATATAGTTGTTTTGGAAACTTGCTCGCAAACAGACGACATTGAGCAACAGTAGCATGTGTTTGTGAAGTCTTTGCTGCTCTGCTTTCAGTTGGAAATATCTGACTAGCTGCATAATGCTAATGTACAACAGTGATGATAGACAACTGTCTGCCATTTGGTTCAGAGTGGATGGTGTACAGTGGATATTTGGTATTGTTGTAGTCAAGAACAAACTAACCAGAGTACTCCAAGACCGAGACCAAGACCATAAATATCACTGAAAAATCATTACTTGTGTGCAGCAGGCATGTCACTCATGTCACTTAGACCTTAACACTGGTTGTAGTCGTAACCGGGGGGGGGATATCAAACTACAAATGAAGTGAAGTTGTCAGTTGTTTAAGAGAGGGCTATTTACCTTCTCATTACAGTAATGACTTGTGAAAAGAAGCCTATCAGTGGTGGTCTTGACCAGTCTTGATTTAAAATCCTGAGTCTGGGGCGCTGGTAAAAAGTCTTTAAAAAAAAAAAAAAACCTGAGTCTGCCCAGTCTGAGACCGAGACCAGGATGAGTATAAATACTATTGAATCCGAGAAGAGACACCAAGACCTTCAAAAAGTGGTCTCGAGATGGATTTTGAGTACTACGACATAAGTATTTAGAGCTTATCTTTACAAGTGAAGCAAGGAGAGTGATTGAGGTTAAATCTGCAGTTTGTACTGAAAATCAAAGTTAAGTGGAAAGTTGCTGTAAGCTGAGTGACAGTGCAACGTTCTGGTTACAGTTCTCTGTGAATTCATTCTTATAGGGGAACTCTATTCACAAACGTTGTTATACTTACAATGTTATGCTTGAGCATACAGACAAGTGCGACCAAAACCTGCCGTGTATACTGCTGACCTTTTGGTTCTATACACTCACAGGCCTTTCCACCATCTGTATGCCTCCGCGGTGCTGACGTAAAGCTGCAGCTTTTGGTTGTGAAGATTCGTTTTGGCGGCTTTTGTGACAAGCAGAGTGCTGGTTTGGGCATATCCCTGCTCGAAAAGGTCAAAACAGACGTTCTCCACAGCATACGGAGACACGTGTCCTGTGTTTGTGTCCCTTTCCACCATCTGTATGCCTCCGCGGTGCTGACGTAAAGCTGCAGCTTTTGGTTGTGAAGATTCGTTTTGGCGGCTTGTGTGACAAGCAGAGTGCTGGTTTGGGCATATCCCTGCTCAAAATGGTCAAAACAGACGTTCTCCACAGCATACGGAGACACGTGTCCTGTGTTTGTGTCCCCTTGTAGATCTGAATATGTGACGCTGAACTGTGAATGGCCCATACAGAGGGCAAAGAGAGGAGAAGAATGATGAGAGGAGGGGCTGTTAGGGTGAAGTAAATAATGTTATTACACACTCATAAATCTGTTGTGCACACTGACCCTGAAGTGATCGCTCTCCATTTTATTGTGTGTTATGAAACCAAATGTTTACCTTTGAAATGCGATTATCCACTTTAAGTTGTGAAGAAATTAGTTTTGATTAAAAAAAAGGGAAGATGTTTGGAACATAAGCGTCCTTATTTGACACAAAATATGTTCAACTAAACACTGATCTCACACAGGGATGGTCAGAATGATTATTAGCACTGACACGGAGCAGTACACACACCACCCTCTGTCCATCTCCTCCCTGACAGTCTAATAAACCTAACATCTGAGTGACACATTACACACATTAGCACAGGCAGCTTATATCAGCCAGGGAACAGCGCTCAAGCCTGCATGCAGTCAAGACACTCACACTTTCCAGAGACCTTTATCATCAGAAGACGCAGCGCTCTGAATCATCAGCCCTGAGGAGGGACGATTGAACCAGCCAGTATCTGCAACAACAGAGCCGCTGGAGACAGAGGGAGCAGATACCAAAGCATCAGTCACAGAGATAAAGCGACCCAGAGCACGGGATACATCACATTCTTTTTATTGAGATACTGATCAGAGAATCAAGCTGGCAGCAGACGACACAAAAAGCTCGCTGGAGGAAGGAGAGGCCAACGTGGAGCAGGCCAAAAGAGGGCCAGACTCACCAGGGCCGATGGTGCGAGTAGAACTGGAGTGGGAGATCCCGATGTCGTTGACGCTGCCCATAGAGGTGCAGCCCGACCCAGCCCATCAACCGTTCCCCTTCTTAGACACAACACTGGCCGACCTGGGCATCCAAGAGTGAGTCAGCTCGAAGGATCTTAAAAAGCAATTTCATGTACCGGTAGATGTGTTTACACAGTTGTCTGTTTCCCGTCACCAGGTCAGAGGTGAAGGAAAGAGTGGTGTGGGTCGACAACAAGAAGACCCAGGTCAAGAACAAAGCAGGGAAGCTGAAGGAAAAAGAGATCACCATCCTTGAGGTATGACTGTAGATGTTTGGGACAAAACTGCAAGAGCCTTGATCTTTGTTTTTGTTTGTTTTGATCCACATTGAAGCACAGGATAGGTGTCTGAGTAGTGCCATCTGTTTCCACGTGTAGGTGAGAGTGAAAGCCCAGAAGCCTGGAGACAAACAGCTCCAGGAGGTGCTGTACAGCACCGAGGCCCACACTGACCGCTCCTTCTGCCGCACAGGAATGAACATCCTGCCCTGGAAACACACATCTACAGGTCTGAAGGCAGTTTAAATGGATTAGTCAAATGTTCAAATCCAGCACCTTTATGTAGAAATGATTAGTTGTGTTACCCGTTGTTGTTACTGTCAACTCTGCAGCTTTCTTGATTCAGATGTGAGGTTTTATCAGTGTAGCTGTTAGCACATATATTATTTGTATGACTCTGCCCTGCAGCACTCTGCAGGGACCTCAGATGGGAGAGTGTCAAACTGATGTAGATCACATCAGTGTGTCAGAGCCTCAGGCACTAAAATGAGATCATTGTAAGCATCGCATCAATGTCCAGATAAAAAAAAAAATGACCTCAACACTTCCAGGAATTTGAAAATAACAGATTGCCTTGTCAGAGACATTTTCTCTTTGTACCTGTCATGATGGGCTAGTGTACTGAAACAGCCAGTTGTGCAATGTAAAGATGATTAATAGGGTCAATAGTACCTTCTCTGTTGTTTTATGTGTACACATTCAAAGAGTTGTTTCCATAACTGCTATAATTGTGTGGTATTTGTCACCTCTACCACAAGCTGTGGTTTCAGTGGCATGTGCATTTACTCGAGGTGTGTTTGGACCTTTTCCAGCAGAGGATGGACTGACACCAGTGCAGATGACTATGGCGTTGGAAGACCAGCAGCCAGACTCTACCAACGCTCAGGGGCAACGGGAGATCTGAAGAGCGACGAAAAGTCCCCATCATTATTCCACGGCAAAGCACATTTCTAACTCCTTTTTGAATCCGTGAGGCGACTTTGCATTAGTTCACAGGATTGTAAGTGTTGCATGGTGAAACATGCCAGCACTTTAACATTGTGCTTAATTTTGTAGAAATTGTAAAAAGAAATCTCTTGCACTTGTAAATTAGTGTTGTATGTTACTACTAGTTTTAAGGAGAAATAATAATAATAATAAGAGATGCACTGGTTTTGGTTAGTCACTTAAACCAGCTCTAACAGAGAGTATAGAGGGTGATTTAAGTGCTGGTTTTTGAGTGTTGCCTGTTCAGCCTGTCCAGTTAGTCAGAGAGAGCTCTGGGAGTTTGACTGCAGTATTTCTGCCAGAGTTCACTCAACACACAGCTGCAGTATCAGCCCTTTAGAGAACCCCTTTGAAGCAGCAGATAGAGCTCTGTAAGTCCACACTAGGAGAGAACGCATACTGATCAAACGTTTCAAGTCTACTGACTTATACAGAGTGATCAGAATGAAAATGACTTTCATCTGGAGATAAATTTATTGCTTCACACTCATACAATAAAGCCATACATTTGTACAAACAGTGGAAAAAGGGAGACAGTAACAATTCATATGAGCACATTAGAGGAACAACAGAAACTGAACACAATGCTAACAACAAAGGATGGTAAACCGTAACTCTTAAAATAATAAAACTTCAACATTTCATGCATGTTAGCAAATAAATTAAAAATTAACACTCAGAGGCTGAAAATTTGATAATAACTATATTAGATTGGTTGAAGTGCTGTTTTTAGATCAATTTCAGGAAAGGTCTCCATAAACTGTCCCATTTTCCACCTACAGTATAAAATCTAACATTTCTTCCTGGCTTTAGAGAGTGGAAGGATGTGCGAGGGCTACGAGCCAGAGATGGTTGCACTTATTTTGGCCTGCTGGTCTTGAGGAAGTGAGGTCATAGCTGCTTGGAAGTCGGCAGAGTGGTGCTGAGCAAATTCTTTCATCAGCATGGCCAAAATGTTCTGGGAGTCTGTGGCAGAAAGGTGAAAAAAACAACAACAGAAGATCAATAAAAAGCAATGTAACAGAAGAATGGTGATGAGTGTTATACAGAGACTGACTGAAGATGATCAGTGAGGGGAAAGAGATTGTATATTTTTGATTCTCTACGTTTTTCACTCAAAATGCCCAAACAAACGAGTTTGAGTATTCATATCACTTTAAAGCAACAATATGTCAAATTGTTGTGTTGAAACTGTATTGTTATCTGTGTTGTTGTCTCATGTTAAGCAGATTTACTGGGTGCCGTAAGACATTTTACCTAAGTTATGTCTCAGGTTTGCATACAAATAGATAAATAAAGCCATCTTAAGCCAAAACTCCGCCCCTCTGTTTGTCAACAAAAGCACATTGTCTGTGAGGGGGGGGTAGAACAGCACTGTGGGCTTCATGACAGTGCAGTTGCACTCAGAGACTTTTGGTGGGTGCCTAAACTCACCAAACTGAATTCCTACATATTGTTGCTTTAAGTGGGTGATTGAAAATAAAAACGGGCTATTGATAATTCTGAATACTACCAAAGAAATCGTCACCTTCATCAACTTTCTTGTTGCCGAGGACATGTGGGGAAGAAGCCACTATGGGCTTCATAACCTTCAAAACCTGAAAGTGAAAACACATTTAATATAACAATGTTTGACATCAGTGTCCAAGTCAATGGACCAATTGAACACAATAATGACCTCATACATTTAAGGGGCAAAAAATTCAGGATTGTCACAGAAGCTTTTATTATTACTTACAAACTAATTATTGTTATTTAATCTAACGTTCAAGTTTGTGTTCATTTCATCATCTCTTTGTTGGACTTAGGTCTATTTTATAACTTTTGTCCAAAGTCTTCAGGATTGCATGATCTACAAAATGAAAATATGCTTTATGTCTGCATGATGTGTTGAGGCAATGCTGTATGTATATATATATATATATAAATAATAAATTCTAAAAAAAGTGATTGGCCTAATCTGTATTCCAAATTTAAAGCACATGCTGGGAATCAAAACACTTTAAGAGCTGTTCCAGACTCAAAAACTAGAAACATCTTTTTTTTCTAGGCTGATGTTTCAAAAAGAAAAATACAATCACTGACACTCCACTTTCAGGCATGTGAAGAAGCAATGGAGAATTTTTAACTATGAATACACCTCAAGTAATTCTACCTCTTGGCACAATGTCCCTATGAACTATCCTGAATATCAGAATTCAAACTAAACTGCAAATACAGTTTTCTGAAAAGCAAGAGAACAATTTTCTGTGCCTGATACGGGGCAGAAAGCATTTCATTTCTGTACTTGGTATTTTTGTCATGATTAGAGTGGCTTAGAGCCCAATGGAGCCATTATCCTAACACACATTACTCCACACAGAAATTGTAGAACCAGGTGTTATCGGTTTGTACTGTACCAGGGCAGGACTGTGTGTGTAGAGCATAGCCAGACAGCTGAACACAGTCTTGTTTTCCTCCATGTCTTCTTTAAGGGGCAGATTACCCACCAGAGCAGGAATTACCTGTCATTGAGCATATCATGTGAGACGAGTTTGTAATGAATTTCCTGTATCTGAGAATGTGTTGACAGCAGTACATAATGTTTACTGGCAAAAAAAAAAAGGCCACCTCAACTTAGTGGTGTAAGATGTAAGTATACCTGCTCAAGAGGGATGGCTTCCACGTTGCTCATGATCATCCTGCAGAGCGCACCACACAGGTTGTCAATCACCCTGGGGTCTGACTCTTTGGAGAGCATGTTAGAAAACACAGACAGCATCATGGGATAGTCTCTGGTGATTGCTTTACTAAGGAACAACCCAATGTGATGTATTCATTCACAACACACCCAGTACACACACTACCAGAAACACACAGGTCAGAAGGATACGATACAACGATGGATCCAGCGGCCTGAGCCAGACATCCCAGTCCAAATACGCTGTTGTTGCGAACTTCAGGGTCACTGTCCCTTACTCCGGCTACAAGCACAGGGAGCAAACGATTGGACAGTCTGCCTGCCACTCCTTGTCCCCCGGACACACTCACCAGGGCCTGCAGGACTTCACCAATCGTACCCAAAGAGAAGGACCGGTCTGCCACTGTGCATGTAGGTTTCTTTTGAAAGGAACAGAAAATGAATCAGTGTTTAGGCACAAAAATAAATCTTTTAAAACATTACCCTGGCTTATTGTCAAAGGTTTGTACCCTACACACGTTGGTCCTACACAAGTCCTTAGTTGTAGATTCTAGATGAGTGCTGTATTCCCAATGCACTGAAGTATGCAGACAGGAAGATGGAACAAATGATGATAAAAGAAGGTGCAACGCTTTTTTTTTTTTTTACAAAGTGTCTATAAAGATTTTTTTCCAACTAGTCAAATTAATTTTACATAGAAGCGTTTCAAAGTCAGAGTTTAAACTAGCTTAAACCTGTAGTTATAAAAGGTTTATATCCTTCTTGCTGCCATTATTCCTCCAAATCGTTCAGTTTGGAGCTGAAATGTGTCTGAATAATTCCACCTTTGTTGATATCTTGCTCTCAGTAGGCCAACACTCACAGCTTTGCTCATGATGAGAGGAAGCAGGTCGTTCAGGAAAGGGGCAAAGCTGTCTGCAGGTACGGAAGAAGCCACAAGGGGAATTCCCTCCCCAGCAAACTCTTGGAGCATGGCATCATACTCTGCCTGAAAAAGGAAGAAGACTTGGTAAATGGACAGTTATGAGGATAAAAGATGCCTCTGGTGACACTCAAGAATATATTGCTTTAATTTGAGCAGCCAACCTGTTGGTCTTCATCTTCAGCTTCATCACCACCACCATCCTGACAAACAGTCTAAACAGACAGAAAAAAACCCGGGCCTCATTCATTAAAGGTCATTGTGAAGAAAATTCACCCATGTGTTCTCATAAGGTTGTTGCAACAACACTGAGGAGCATTACTAGCATTTCAGTGCAGATATGCTGTAAACCATAGCAGCACATTCCATAGGACCAAATTTACAGACATTTGGTCTCCCATGTTACAGACAAAGTTAACTCCCTATCCCCATCAGTCTTCTCCTTAGCGTACCTTTTTCTTAAGGACATCACGGATGACATGGCTGATCTGTTTAAGGCGAGAAGGGTTTTTGAAAACCTCTTCTTTGCAAGTTTTGACGACATTGTTCAAGGTTTCCAACACGCCCATTACGACTTGGCGCTCAGGCTCTGTTCGCACAGCTTCCACAAAGCAAGGAAGCACCACATCCAGCAGCTTCAGTAGGGCTTGGGAGGGATATAAGATGAGAAGAAGAGCAGATTAAGTAAATGTAAACAAAGGAAACATAACTCTTCAACACAAACTTACTAAATTAGCTGTCCTCTACCTTACTCTATGGAATAATAAATGGTCTGACAGTATTTATTTAAAGCAGATGAGCCCCACTCTAGCAGAAAGCAGCACCTGAAAATAGTAAAGGAAAGTAGAGTTCCTTAGGACAGAGGCTTTACCCTGGTAGTTGGCCTCAGTGGGATTGTCCCTCCAAACTAGGCACTGAGATCTGCAAAACTGGCCCATGGCTCCAAAGGCTGACCTGCGGACGTCCTCATGGGGAAACTAGAGTTAGAGAACATTAAGAGAGGATACAAAATGTATTAAGTTATAGCACTATACACAATGACTGTTGTATTACAGAGTAAATAAACAACAACAAATCCACAGGGTTAATGGTTACTGAGAAGAAGTGTCAACCATTCTAGGTGATTTTTCCTGAATTTGACCCAGAGTTTGTTGATGAAAACTAAAGAAGGATGATATGAGGATGATACATCAGATTAGGTCGAATCAAGATAACTGGACTTTCTTTTTTATTTACAAAAAAGTTGCTTTACTGAATACACTTTAAAAGTGACTTCAGGCAAATATAAAAGTTCAAGAGTTCAGAGTTCAAGACT